GATCGATCCCCTGGATACCCAACAGAGAAGGACGGCAGGGATCCGGATCCAGGCAAACTGATGAGTAGAAGCACTGACTTCAGACGTGCTCCAGGAAGCACAAACCACGGAACCCGCTGACAAGGAAGCGGGAGCGTCGGAGGGCAGACATTGGCACGCCAGAGGCGGGGACTCCAGAAGCTGCCGGACCCGGAAGTAGAGGTTACTGGTGGCCGCCCGGGGAGGAGAAGCACGGCCTGACTACCGGTGAGCTGTGGGTGGTGGTCTCCGCGGCGGCTGCAGGTTAGCGCGAGCCTTTTTTGGGCGTGGTTCCTGAATGCTGACCCACCGCAGATCGCCGCCTTTGTTGGGGTTACCCACCACCTCAGCTGGATGTGGGGGTTCGGGGAGGTGGTAGCGGGCCAGCGTTTAGCCCAGTGTCTGGAGGGAGCACGCGTTGGGGTTAATGCTCTTCTTCTTCGGCCCCTCGCACGGCTCTCTGAAGTGAGGTCTTTTTTCCCAATCGCACGGCAGGAGGCTTAGGCTCTGGGAGGCTGTGCGGCCGTCAGAGGTCTAGATCGGCACAATCTCCACGCCAAAGCAGGTTCCACTCACTGCCTCCTTGTCTATAGCGAGTCCGAGTTCTCTCACTTCATCTCTGTAGATGAGGGACAAAACTTTAGTGAACAAACTAGCTAGAACGCAGGGACAATAATTTCTCGTAGAGGTGAAAGGGAGTATGATAGCCTTGTCTTGCATCTTTATCCGTCCGGCCTTTGGAAACAGGATTGTGACAGGCTGGCCCAATTTGGGGCATAATGGCTAATGAGCCCTGGAGTTCCTTTGCCAAAATCACCTGACACTACATAGCTTGAATTGTTCTGAATCTCGGTTTACCCATACTCTGTTTTGAAAAATTACAACGCCTGCCTTATAGACTTGTTGGTAGATTGGTATTTATAGCTATGGCATACTTAGTGTAGACAGAGTTTTAAAAATGGTCATTTCTTTTCCTGATTCTGTAAATATTTGGGAAAGTTAGTGAAATAGGAAATCCTAGGACTCTCAGTGCTGTTTGGATCACTGCTAGGCCTCCACTCCCAAGCTAAATTAACTGGCTCATGAGACACTGATGTGAAAGAAAATTTTGGTATTTAGTGTCTCCCTGGTGAGAGTTGACAAGATACTAACATGTGTTAACCTTCAGTCCTAATAACAGTTCCAATTTGGAATGTTTACGGTGAACACTGATTAGCACTTGCTTATGTGCCTTTTTGGAAGAGGACATACTGCAGTTTTGGAGCTTTAGTAGACAAGATTGAACTTGATGTATGTTGTAGATTACCATTAAGAATTTATTTGGGTCATTTTGTATATATTTGGTTTTTTTTTTAAGCAAAAAATTAAGTGAATAATAATGTTCATAAGGTAAAAGTGTGAGGGTAGTGTACAAATGAAATTTGCAAACATTGCATTCAGGTTTTATCATTGGTTTCTATTTTGAAACGGGAGCTATGCCTCAATGGAAAAAGAAGGAGGCCCGAGATAAATCACAGGGAAGACTGCATCAGTCTTCAAGGTGGAATCTGATGCAGCGGAAGTAAAGTGTATGGGCTGAAAGTAAGGAAGCATGAGTTTCAGCCCCAACCCAATAAACTTCCTCGGTGACTTTTGGTAAACTATTCTCTTTGAGACCAGCCTTCTTCATTCTTCCAGATGACCATCAAGGCCCTTTCCCCCAGGATTTCATACCCTTAAAAGAGCAACGTTTTTTGCCAATAAAACAGTGATAGCCAGCACATTACAAAGTTCTAGTGCAGTACTCAAGTGTAAAATGCTGAACTAGAACCTTTCTTTCTTTAGAGCTGAAGCTATTGAAGACAGGTGCATGTTAGACAGAAATAGTTGCACAGACTGACAGGTGAATGTGCAATCTAAAATTGGGATATGTATGTGTCTGCGTGTACTGCCTAATTTTGTCCCTTTTCTGAATAAATGAGGTAACCTCTTTTAAGATACGAAAGGAAAAATTATCTCTGAAGGAATTGTCAGTATGTTGATGATTTTATCAAAAAACCTAGGATCATAGCTGTGAAGGGGAGTAGTAGAGATGTAAAATTTCTTGAACTTTGACACCATGGAGGGGGACATTGCAAAGCAGAAGCATTTACAATACATTTATAGATTTAAAGTCAGGTTTTCAATTTTAGAGATTTAAAAGCGTTTTTATTATTTACAGGTAAAATTGCTGTTTAATATATTCAGTCATTTTGTCCCTGCACTTCACTTACCATTACAGTGAATAAGGGAAAAAACCTATCTTTCTGGAGTTTACTCTGTTCTAGGAGCTGTAAGACAAGAACCAAATAAGTAGTTGGAAGACTGTTTGAAGTTTAATGATAAGCACTGCTGCAGAGAAGGCTGCTGTTCCACTTGGGATGTTTATATAGGTTGAATATTATAAGGACAGAAAGCACAGGTTCCAAGTCCTGCCACTTGAACTCTGGTCTCTCTTACTCTGCATTCCCTCCTAAGGACAGTACAATGGCAGCACCCCTCCCAAGGACACTATCAGGACTACCCTTAGTTGGCATGTCATTACTATACTTTAACTCCTGGCTTCTCTAACAGACACAAGAATCTGAGAAGAGGGGCTGGGGATTTAGCTTAGCGGCATAAGCGCCTGCCTTGTAAGCAGGCAGTCGTGAGCCTTGTAAGCAGGCAGTCTTGAGTTCGATCCCCAGTACTAATAAAAAAGAAAAAGACAAAAAAAGAAAGAAAAAAGAATCTGAGAAGATATGTTAGGACAGAACTTTTTTCCTACATATATACATTTATTTATTTATTTAGATTTTTTTGGAATCAGGGTCTCATTATTTAGCCCAGGCTGGCTCAAACTCACAGTGATCCTCCTGCCTCAGCTTCTCAAGTGCTGGAATTACAGGTGTGTACCAGCACACCTGGCTTTTTCCCAGCTTTTACAGAAATAGGAAGCTCAAAATCTTCACGCAAGATTCTCCCTCTGCCAATTTCCCTCTAATTTCTCTAGATGGGAGAAGGTGTGTCTCTGGATCTCCATTAAACTTCACTTCTGGGCTTTTGATCTTTGGCAGCACTAAAACTTCCCCAGGATGGAGAACAGAGACTGTGGTCATTCATTCATTTACTCATTCACTCACCCGGAAAACAGTTGGTGTGTTCTGGGTGCCAGAGATACAGCATTGACTCAAACACAACCCACAGGGCAGACAAAACAGCAATGCCAGGCATGGTTTTCAGAAGGGCAGGCATCAAAGCAAATAGACTCAGGAGAAGAAGTAGCCAAGGAGGAGAAGGAGGAACAGCAGGAATGACCATGTGCAGGGAGGGAGGGAGGGCCTTGGGGACTTGCAGAGATGAAATGGGAGGTCACCTGTGGTCTGCCAACCTGGAGCATTGTTTTTTCCCCTGGGATAATTGTTTATTTAGGGAAAATATCCAAGTATTTATTTGAGTCGGCACAAATTGTTTTATTTGGAGCAACTTTCTCAGAAGAATTACTGATGTCACTGTGGTCCTACAGCAGCAGTGGAATTGAGAGCACAGGGCAGACCTTGGCCAGTTCTGCACATCATGAAGAATAAGAGGCCCTTTAATGAAGGAAGTTTCATTAACATCCTTCCTGAAAAATGTCCTTTTCAGTTCTTTTCTAGTTTCTGGTTTTATTTTATCTTGACTTTATTTTTAAATCCCAAACTGTCTATTCTTTTTACTCAGCCACCTATATCCTAGGACCCAATGAAAAAGGTACAGAAGGGATTGATAGGCAGGAGGACCCCAAGTCCTGACCTCCAGACCCTCCCACCACTATGGTCTCTTCTGCTACTTCTGAGTGATACCAAGACACATCTACTCACTGTAAACAAACTATCCATATCCACATGTTTGATCACAGATAGCAGTGATTTTTACACATCAGTTAAATGTCTACGTTTATGTAATCTATCTGAGCAGTATGGTTTGCATTAATGTTTACAGAGCAGATTCAGTCCTTTTTAACTGCTATGGGTGTTCCTTTGTATACATGTGTCATACTTTTATTTAACTGATTCTCTGTTGACATACATTAGGTCATTTCTGATATTTTAGTATAAATGATAATGCTTCAGAGAATTAGCTAGTGGTGTTTGTCACTGGTGATTTCATGTCTGGTACAGAGTCACTCCATCACAGTACTGTACTGCAGTCTTACCAGCACCTACGGCTCACTTCTGTGGCTATCCCTTCATTCCTTCCCGGGTGACTTCACCCTTCAGGTCAGTACTCACCACCTGAGGGCCCTCACCCCTACCCCATGTGCCCCACTCAAGCATTCTGTCCCTGCGGACTGCTTCCTTTGACTCCTATTCTCTGCCATAGTGCCTTGCTTTCTACAGTTCTGGAACCTACAGGGCACAGCCTGAGTAGACTCTCCTCTTCCCCTTCCCACCCTCCTTGGAGTCAGGTCTGTTATTACTGTCATGCCACTCAGCCCCCACTCTCTAGTCCCTCCTGTTCAGCTGAGATAGCCTATCTAAACCCCAGACACCTTGCTATGAGCTGCCCTAGTATCCCCCCTGCTGTCTGTCCAATTCCTCCTCCACTAAGAGATACGAGATCTTGTCTCAGACACACACATGCACAGACTGGACACCACCACCTCCGCTGTACACCCTTGGCTAACCAGCTGCTTCTCACCCCTGTGCCCACCCCAGTATTACTGCAGTCTAGTTCCATCCCTATTTGTGCACTTTTACTTTTTCCTTTTCTACTGGACCAGCCTCATCTTGTGTACAACATACTGGTATGTTGCCTATCTTAAAATAAAAAAGTGTGACTTCCTCTTCTTTTTCTGGCTCTTTAAAGTTGACTTGCTCAGTTTTCCCATCAAGATTACTTAGTTGTCGATGTCGCTCCCGGCCGGCAGGAAAGACACACGACAAGGTCTGGCGGTGGTCAGGCTTTTCTTTATTCTCTCCTTATACAGTCTGCCCCGAAGCCTCTACCGGTCCGCTCTCCGCGGCTCCTTCCGTGCTTCAGTCTGCCCCGAAGCCTCTACCGGTCCGCTCCCCGCGGCTCCTTTTGTGCTTCAGTCTCTCCCGAAGCCTCTACCGGTCCGCTCCCCGCGGCTCCTTGCGTGCTTCAGTCTCTCTCCCGAAGGTGGAGGTACTGGCTATATATAGGATTAATAGCTAGGCAGACTACCCTGTGAGGCGGGAACTTAGTGGGGTGATAAGAAACAGGTGCCACACAGGCGGGCTCGATGAGAGGGGTAATCTAGCTCAGGCTTTTGTACTTTCCCACAGGCCTCGCAATCACCGCGTCTGATGACTTGACAGTGCCACGGCTCCCAACACTTAGTGACTGAAATTACAACTCCATGCCCAGAATTCAGCTGCTGCATTACTCAGCTTGCATTTGACACGGCAGTCGCCACTCTTAAAGTACTCTTTTTTTTGCCTTTTAGAACCCCACCTTTCCTGCTGTCTCCTCAGCTTCCACCTTTGATCACTTCCATGCCCACATTCTCCCACTGCCACTGCCTGCTCTGCAGTCATGATGGCAGATCGCATGTAACACACCTGAAATACTGCTTGTGAGTCCCTGTCCTGAACTGCTTCCTTCTCAGTTTTTCCTCTCAGACAAAGGAACCCTTTTTGCCTAAGTTAAAAGTCTAGAAGTAATTCTTGCTTTCTTCATCACATATTCTGCCCATTCCAGTGTTGCCCTGACTCTGAATCACCCCTCCCTACCCTTTCCCTGGGGTCCAGTCATTCACTTCTACATGACAACCAGAGGAACCCTTTAGCATGTGAGGTCAGATAATTCTCACTTTTGTTCAGACCTTCTGCTGCTTCCCAGCTCCCCTACAATTCAGGCCAGAGGAGCCCCACATTCTACACCAGCTGCACTCAGCCCCACCAGCCTCTTCATTGTCTCTAAAACCCCCAACCATCTCTTCTGGAACCTTGCTTCCCTTGTCCTTCTGAGTAGTCTCTAATACCACATGGCCCAGTCTTGCCTTATTCCTCCTCCCACTTATGGACACACACACATACACATCTGTGCTGCAGTGGGCACTCCTGGAAGATAGGACCTGGTGCTGCTTCCTGCCATTCTCCTTGCACACAGGACTGGCCCAAGCCTGTAGTAGGTGCTTAATAATGAAACAGTGGATTAATTTCAAAAAGCAGCGTTACTAGGCATGTGTCTTAGTTTTGAGCAGGATCATTAAATTGTTCCCCATGGAAAAGTTGTTCAACTTGAATTTCCTCCACATTTTCAGCCACTATGTGCTCAGATTTGAGTTTTTGCTAGTGAGATACTTAAGTACAAAATCATTTTAGCTTTAAATTTCTTTGACAAGTGTTATCAAATATCATTTCATATCATTCTACTTTTCTCATTATACAAACTCCAAAAAATAAGAAAACAGCAATCCAAACTGAAAAAAAATGGGTTAAAAATACAAATAGTTCACAGGAAAGAAACCAATTGCTTTTAAACATGCTTCAAGTACTTCTGAGTTTTGAGGGATGTTAAATTTTTTCATTTCTTTACACTGAGATTTAAAGCTCCATGGTTTCTTTTGGCATTTTCTTGGTTTCCATTTTTAAACAAAAATGAAACCTTTAGTGAATATGGAATCATCTGATAGAAGTTACAAAGTAAGAAAAAACTTTTTCCCTAGCAAATTGTATTTTCTCAATACAATTTATTTTGGATTTTTAAAAATACAATACTGTATTTATAGTGATCAAAAAGACAAGCCAGGCATGGTGGCTCATGCCTGTAATCCCAGTACTCGGGAGGCTGAGGCAGGAGGAGCATTGCGAGTTCGAGACCAGCCTGGTCTACAAAGTGAGCTCAAGCCTTGCCTCAATGCATAGTGAGACCCTGTCTCAAAAAGGCAGAATGTGGGCTGGGAACATAGCCTAATGGCAGACTGCTTACTAAGCATGTACAAAGGTCTTGTTTGATTCATAGTACCATTCATAGTAGGAGGTGTGCATTCATATGTCGCTGTCATTGTTGTTTTTCCTGCTCAACCAGAAAATATTAAGTGGTATACCAGGCCCAGAAAACTGTAGTAGATCCCAATACTGATTCAGATTTGGAGCCATTCTGGTCTTCTTGGTAGGTGGAAGCAGTACCTGACCATGGCATTACAGTGGTCAGTGGGCTGAGATGGAGGCCTAGCCCCAGAACCACAGTATACAATGGGAAACAATTCATCCTGCCAGTGTGTGCTAGGAAAGCTCTTTTAAGAAGAGCTCAGTGTGCTGTGAGTATAGCTCAGTTGTAGAGCACATGCTTAGCATGTATAAAGCCCTGGGTTCTGGCCCCAGCACCAGAAAGCAATGAAGTGAGCTGGGCCTGTGGATGGTAGAGCTATAGTCTGAAGGTCTAATGGAATTTCAGCAAAGCAAACTCAGGCATGGAGGCTTTAAGTGGACTCTTTCTTTAGATGATGGTGTCCAGTTTAATTTAAAGGCCAGAGGTTGGCCTTCAAAGCAACAGGTAGAGTGTGGTAGGAGGCAAGGTAGATACAAAGGGCCTTCCAAGCTCCACTAGGGACTGAACTCTCCAGCCATTGGATTTCAGGCCTTCTCATAGGTCAGTAGGACCTGGGAAGCCCTGTCTGGATATCTGCATTTTAAAATGTATCTAAATGTATCTCGTGGCAGCCCAGTGCTCAACTAAGAGGCTCTTAGCCCAGGGATTCAACAAAATCAAGGGACAGGAGGAAAGACTATAGTTACTCATCTCCCCCCTGAGGGATGAGTCCATCTGGAGGTGGAAAAACCAGCCAGGGTGGGGGCGGGGGGGACACCAGCCAGCATCCTGCCCCTGCCCTGTAAGTCCCTCAGCCCCAGCATCTTCATGTGCTTCAGTTTAGTGACAGAATTGACCTGAGGTCATTGGGGTCACTTCACTTTCTCCCAAATGAAGCAGAATTCCAGGGAAGTTGCTTATATGCCACATTTCATCCAGTTTCTCTAATTTTTCTTTTCTTTCTCTTGCCTTTTTTTTTAAAGTGTGTTTTCTTATTAGTGGTATAGGTCTTTTGAAGTGTTGCTTTTTTCTGAGTATAATTCAGACATGGAGCCACTCTTGTCCTCAAAAATTAAATTTTTTTCCCTTTAGGAGGCAACATTGACAGTTGTTTAGACTACAGAAGAACAGCTTCTCAATTTTTTTGTTGCCATCATCCTGAACGAATGTGAAGGGCTGAAGGCCCTGACAGCCTTGAGCCAAGATGAAGACTGTGTTCATGGTTGCTGAGAAGCCTTCCCTGGCACAGTCCATCGCCAAAATCCTCTCTCGAGGTAGGAAAAACCAATACTAAGCTTCTTTATTATTTGGTCTGTAAACCTGGTCATTTTTACTTTTCAGGATGTATCTTTCTTTTTTCAAAGTGTGATTCTGCCCTTGTTGGAGTAAATTTATTTCAGGTCAGTAAGAATTAATGAAGCACTCCCCACCTGGTGTGTATCAGGGAAAGGGCACAGTTCATGGTGAGGGGAAGAGTGCATTCCTTGTCAGAGGAGGAGGCCAGTCAGGGTCATTGGTCACAAGCAGCAGAACCAACCCTGGGAAGAGATAGACACAGCTAGGATCTTACCCCAGTTGAGACCTGACAGGTTTACGTCATGGGCATTGTCAGCACTGAATCCTGCCTGCTATACCCTCAACTCAGCTTCAGTCACATTTCCTGTACCTCACATCACTAAAGACTGGCTGGTGGGCCTAGCCTTGGCCACAGGCACTCCTGATACACTGGGGAGCTAGAGCAAAAATGACTTCTCCCTCACTCCCTTTTCTGGCCACAAGAGTAGCTGGTCAAGTGCTGTTTCCCCTCCTATCTTTGAATTCCCTCTAAATATTAAGGGAATTTGGATGGCTGGATATCCACAGTGGCAAGCATCTACTTTAACGTCACCTTGGTCCAGCAGTTGGGGAATAAAGAGCCTCTAGTACAGCTGAGGAGGTGTTCAAAGAGGTCTGAGAGGTGGTATCTCATCCCCAGGGCTGAGAAACTTGGACTGAGGAGCCATCAGTGAGTAAAAAGACACCATAGGATTTGATAACTAGAAGGCCTCTGATGACTTTAAAGTTTGAATAACATGGGGCAGAAGTCAAAGTGAAATGTGAAATCAGAAATACAGACAAAAAGACCACTAGTGTCCATCCTGACTCCCAGCCAGTTTGGGCTCTTGTGTTTGAGAGTATTCCATTTGAGGCTGTGTACAGACGCTCTGGTCTCTTGAGTACTACTGAGTCTCTCAGTACCCACTTAGCACCATGGCCAGAGGAATATCATCTGCTTTGAAGGAGGAGGACTCTGGTCCTGTAAGAGGTGGCATCCAGGTCTGGGATTTCCATGACATCTGCAGCTGAACACAGCAACCACCCCTGTGTGTTTCCTCTCCCCAGGGGGCATGTCTTCACACAAGGGACTGAATGGGGCATGCTCAGTCCACGAGTATATGGGAACCTTCGCTGGCCAGCCAGTCCGCTTCAAGATGACCTCTGTCTGTGGTCATGTGATGACCTTGGATTTCCTAGGTGAGCTCCATCCCCATGCTTCCCTTCCTATAGATGGGAGCCTTGCACAGCACTGCCCAGTGTCCTGTTAGCATCTCAATCCAATGAATTGTGGATTAGAGTGACTGGGTTCCCTGTGTGAGCTCTGGAGCCCAGGAGCCCTGGGGCCCTATCCCACTAGCACCTGATAGTCACTGCATGCCTTGCGTACCTTGCTGTATAGAGGAGGTAGTGGTATCTGTTTTGGGAGGGGCCTGACCCAATCAGGTGTTTCAGAGAGCTTTGGTGCTTTTGCTGAGTTGACTGTTGTCTGTCAGTCATTTGATAGCTTCATTGTCATCTTTTATCATTATTATCATTTCCTCCACAGGGCCAGCATTAGTGACCCACTGGGTCTTGGTACAACACCATGTGTCTGACAAGGGTCTGAGCCAGACTCTGACCTGCATATTAGTTCATTTTGCATTACCACTTTGGAATGCCTAATGCAGGCTAACTTTCTAAAGATAAAAAAGGATATATTTAACTTACAATTTTGGAGGCTCAAAATGGAGTGCCAGCTCTGGCAAGGATATTGTGGCAGGTCACAGTGGCAGTAGCACATGCCAGAGGAGAGATCACATACTGAGGCGGGAAGCTGGAGAGAGGTCTAGGGATCAGGGTGCTCTCCTAACAATGATGGAAGTGCCCCCAGTGACCTCTCCTAGGTCCTGCCTCCTAATACCACCACACCATCTCCAAAACTGCCACTCTGGGGAGCAAGATCCCAGCATGCCCTTTGGAGTCGCCTTAGACCATGTATAAACTACAGCATCTGTACTCTGACAACTCACTGGATGGGGCCTGGGTCAGTAACTGGCCCCTGGTGAGCTGCCATTTTTCACATGTGAAATGTACATCGATGTCATCTGCTTCTCAGGATTGGTGAGGGCTCAGTATGACAGTGAAAATAGAACACTTGTGCACAGCGGGCACAAGGCAAAGCCTTAGTAGTTGTTCTTGCTGCTCAGTGACCACAGCAGTGGCTAGGGTGACTCTGTAGGCAAGCATTTGAACCCCAAACTTCATCTCCAGCAGGCAAGTAGGAGTTGAACCTGGCTCTAATTTAATTCTCCTAGCCTACCAGAAATGGGGCCTATGGGTAGAGGATTTGGCTCAGCGGCATAAGCACCTGCCTTGCAAGTGCGTGGTCGTGAGTTCAATCCCCGGTACCAAAAAAGGGCGGGGGGGGGGGGGGCTAAAAGAAAATCAGAGGGTTCAGCATGCAAGAACCTAGCCTTATATAGAAAGGAGGAAGTATTGGACATGCGATCAAGAGAGAGCTACTTTGCAGGGACTGGCTAAATGTCTGTTGTGTGCTCTGTGAAGTGCTGGAATGGAGGGAAAGAGTTACAGAAATCCAAGTTGGAGAAGCAAATGATGGCTTTAGTTCAGAGCCCTGGCAAAATGAACTGTCCCAGGAATGGTGCTACCAGTCACGGAAAAAACCCTGGAAGTGAGCAAGCTTAATGAGAGCTTGCTTGGTTCCAGTGGGTAGCCAGAGATGGTATTAGCTTAGTAGCATAGGCAAGGAAAGTCAGGTCATAGAAGTTACCCAAAGGCCTCAGCCTGTGTCCCAGCCCTGCCTCTGTTAGGTGACCCAGACCATTTGTCCGCCAAGCCTTCTACTCATTCGTGCAGTGAGACAGTCATCTTCCCAGGGCTGTAATAGTTTCAGAGGCTGATCCTTTTTTGACTGTGAAGTGTGACTCAACGTCACTGTGGCTGTGATTTGTAGGAAAGTACAACAAGTGGGACAAGGTGGACCCTGCAGAGCTGTTCAGTCAAGCTCCAACAGAGAAGAAGGAGGCCAACCCCAAGCTGAACATGGTGAAGTTCCTGCAGGTGTGTGAGGAGGAGCTGTCTTTGTCCACTAGTATTGAGTCCCCATTCTCATCTGGGACACAGAGGCCTTTACTGGCAACCCTAGGCCCACCTTTCTGCCTGTGAATGCTCCCTGCTGGTCTGCCAGGCACCTTCAGGCCCACATCCCTATCTGTCCTGGAGAGTACACATTTTGCTTTTTGTTTGTTTTTTTTGAGACAAGGTCTCACTATGTACTTCGGGCTGGCCTTGAGCTCACAGCAGTGCTCCTGCCTGAGCCTCTTAAATGCTGGGATTATAGGTATGCGCCACCATACCCAGCACATCCTGTTTTTGTAATGGTTTGGTTGAAGGTTTTTTTTCCCCCTAATTTTAAAGCAAGTGCATAAATATTATGAAATATTAGAAAATATAGATAACAATAAAAAACTGTAAGCACATGACCCCAGACAATTACTGTTAATAATCAGGATCATTTCATTTCAGCCTTTTTCCTATTAGGTTTTTGGGATTAAAATCATATTGTAAGTATGATTTGTTATTCAAAAAAACAGCAGCTCTCAACTAAATTCTTTCTGAGGGGTCAGGCCAGTCTTATTGCAGGACTGAGTCTTATTGCAGCAGCTCTCAACTAAATTCTTTCTGAGGGGTCAGGCCAGTCTATAGCTTCTTTCTTAGCCTGGACACCAGTCCCCTTAATGTACCCAGGTTCTGGGCTCCACCTCCTGTCCCCAGGGGGAGTAACCCCAGTGCTATTAACGGGTGCTGTGTGGCAGGTGGAGGGCAGAGGCTGTGACTACATTGTGCTGTGGCTGGACTGCGACAAGGAAGGGGAGAACATTTGCTTTGAGGTGAGTATAAAGCTTACTTGGTTCACTTTAGGCTTTTCTACCCCTCTCCCCAATCTGATACTCACAGTCACATCATTCTTAAGTTTGAGTAGGTGGTAAACTATTACCGACTTACAAAAGCTTTCTCCTGCGCACTTTATTTTAGAAATTCTGCATACACTTTAAAATGCACAGAACCTACTTAAGGTTGATGGAGTATTATTTCATCATACCATATGAGCAAACATCAGAATAGAGCAGATGAGGGGCCGGGGGTTTAGCTCAGTGGCATAAGCGCCTGCCTGGTAAGCACAGGGTCATGAATTCAATCCCTGGTACCAAAAAAAACAAAAACAAAAAAAAAACAGAATAGAGCAGATGGGCTTTTCAGTGCATCCTTGATCCAACTTTGCCTTTTGGGGATCTTTGGTTGATCACCTTAGCACCACATTTCTCCCAGGCCTCACTCTTGTGACCCCCATCCTCATATGTCCTCTGCTCTACTCAGAATGCTCTCCTGTCTCCCCCACCCCCAATAACCCTCTCTGCAAGGAGGCAGTAACAGCACCCTGTATACCCCCACCTCATGTTTACCGTGGCTGTGGCACTCTTGTGCAAGTTGTGACTGCTGATCTTACAGGTGCCCCTAAGGCTGTAGTTCCATACGGTTCACCTGCTTGTCTGTCTCTATACCCTCAGCTTTTATCTGAGGGGTTTCGGAGATGGTTCTGGTGAGCAAGGAAGTGGTCAGAGTAGTTAGGGTTCTTGTATGGCAACCTCAACACTTCTTGATCACACACCATCCCTTTCCAAGCACTCTTCCCCTGCAGGGCTCCCCTTCCAGGGCCTTAGCATCTAGAGCTGAAGATGGTAACTGGTTATGGGACCTTCTCTCTTCAGAAACAAAGTCCCTTCTCTTCCATAAAGATGCTTCACAGCCAGATTGTGGCAGTGTCTCGACTCCAGCCCTTACCCATAAGCTAGGCCTTCCCTTTCATTCCCATTTCCTCTTCCTCTGCATTCCTTTTGCCTTCCCTGACTTTTCTCTACTTGCCATTGCTCTTTCCAGCTTTCCTTCATCCCAGAAGAAGAGGGGACAGATCCAGACTGTGAAGCCCCACATGTGCTTCGTAGTAGCATTTCCTAATTTGATGGGAATGAAGCAAAAGAAGAAAGAGCAGATTTAAGGAGAGGGCTGGGACAAAACAAGAAAAGAGGGCAATATGGAAGGGATTTGTGGAGAGAGAAGGGGAGGGTCTACAGGAGATGGAATGTTCCTTACATATATATGCTCAGCTTTGGAAGCAGCCACACACAACAGTGGTGGTGGGGCCAGAAGCAGAGCTCATGTAGCAGTCTCAACCAGGGCATCTTCCCCCTAGGTCCTTGATGCTGTTCTGCCTGTAATGAATAAGACCCACAATGGTGAGAAGACAGTATTCCGGGCCAGGTTCAGCTCTATCACTGACACAGATATCTGTAATGCCATGGCCTGCCTGGGCGAGCCAGACCACAATGAGGCGCTATCTGTGGATGCCCGCCAGGAGCTGGACCTACGCATTGGCTGCGCTTTCACCAGGTGCTGCTCCCCAAAGGGCCCAGGCATGCCCCACCCTCCCTTCAGCCAAAGTGCATGCCTTTGCTTGGCCCCTACTGTGGTTCTCCAGGCTTCTCAGAGCCTTGATGAGCAAGAGGCAATTCTTACATTTTAAAAACCCTGAAGAATATTATATTAGCTGGTGTAAATCATAGGACACCACTTGATCAACAGAATATCCATACTCAGGCTTTGAGGACAGTGCAGTGGATGGATGCATAGAATATAGTAGATGGCTCCCAACATGGTAGGATCCTCTCCTTGGTCTTTTGCTCCATCACATGCTCACATAGTTCTTTCATGCTGGCTGATGCTGTGCTACATACATTGGCTTCTAGGTGAGAAGCAGCCACCTACCTGCATGTACCACCCCATATAGTGCACATGATGATTGTGCCATGAGTGAATTGCTGACCATCTGTTTTTCTTTCCCTCACCCTATCACTTCCTCTAGGTTTCAGACAAAATATTTCCAGGGGAAATATGGTGATTTGGACAGCTCTCTCATCTCCTTTGGGCCGTGTCAGACTCCTACCCTGGGATTCTGTGTGGAGAGACATGATAAAATCCAGTCCTTCAAACCGGAGACCTATTGGGTGCTGCAGGCCAAGGTTCTTTTCCTTCCTCTATTCCTGCTTGCATGTTCTAAGTTTAGGATGTGGATTCTGAGACATTTTCTCTTACCATCATCATAATTGTTATCCTGCAAGCCTTAGGCCAGTGATGGTGAACTTTTTAGAGACTGAGTGCCCAAACTGCAACCCGAAACCCACTTACTTATCACCAAGTGCCAGTATTTCCCCTATGTATGCTATTATCTATTCAGCTGGTGGAGCAGTGCTGGGGTGACTTTTACGAGGCCAGCAATGAAGCCTTTACCTGCCTGCTGCAGCACACATACCATAAGTTCACCACCACTGCTCAAGCTAAGGGCACAAGTGTAAATACCTGTATTGAGATAGGTGTTGGTGCCCAGGAAAAGGGGTCCTCCAGCCTTCTGGGGTACTAGTCTAGGCTGGGCCTGAATGCACTGAATTTGAATAAATGGGGGTGATTTTTGCCCAAGTGTGCAAAGTAAGGTCACCTTCAGAGGCCTGTGGGTGCAGTGGTCAGATCTAATATACTGGACTTGAGGCCAAGGGCTTTCAAATTTCTTGGAAGTCTTTAGAACCCTTTCTTTAAATAAAAGCCTCCCAAAGCTTGATGTAAGATTTAAAACATAACACAGATTTGCTCTGGTTCACACAGATTGGCCAGGCACTTGGTGTGGGTATGGTTGGAGTAAGAGATGGAGGCTTAGATGCTTCTTAAGGACATGTCAGCCTCAGCTCTTTGCCACCCTCCTGAGACTGCCTGCATGATTTCTGGTGGAGGGTTGGGGATGGGAAAGACTGGTGTCAGCTTGCCTGTGTACCCCTAAACAAGTGCAGCTATGAGACACTAGACCCCCAGTATTTTGCTCCTGGATGAAAACCCGCTTCTATCCTGATTCCCTTTCCTGGTGGTAGGATCACCTGGACACTTCTCACTTGTTTATCTTTGTCCTTTCCGTAGGTGAATGTTGAGAAAGACAAATCTCTCCTTTTGGACTGGGACCGTGTAAGAGTGTTCGATCGGGAGATTGCACAGATGTTTTTAAACATGACTAAGCTGGAGAAGGAAGCCCAGGTACGCCTGCTCTGCCCCTACCTGTCACATTTGCCTTAGGTGGGCACGGGTCTTGATAGCTTCTGCTAGTGACTGAGCCATGTCTTTCTCACTCTTTCTGAAACACATCTTTTTGAAAGAGAAATGGATATTCACCCATACACTTCAAAGGTACTTCAGTTAAAGCAGTAACTACAAAGTACTGCATGTCTACTTTTACCAGGTATTCTTCATACCTGTGAGCTTTCTCAGCTGCTTCCACTCTGCTGTCCACCAGGCCCAGAGGGCATTATCTTTGGCAGAACTCCATTTCACATAGATGTCCCCTTTCTATGATATTGAAGGCTAACAATCATAGAAGGATTTGCCTTGTTTAGGATGTGATGACTTTGCCCACTCAGCTAGCAGCGTGCAGGTCTGAGATCCCAACTTCAGTCAGCTTTTACACCTTGGTGGTACTGTGTTTCTTCCTTGAGGGTTTCATGTGTTAGAAGGACATGCTACTTGGCTGTTAGGAAGTGGGTGATGCATTCTGGCATGGGATTAGTGCACAAAGTAGTGGGCAGGTCCATCACCATAGCAACAAGTGCTCTGCAGCTGTGATAGCTTCCAGAGTTTCTGAGGCACAGCCTGACTTTACTTAGCTACTTATGACCTATCCTTTTCAAATTTCCTTTAATGACATTTTGCCCAGGATTGAGCTCCTGGAACCACTAGTAAAGCTGCTTTATGCTGGTAGCATTGATGACATTCCTGCAGACTCTATTTCTACCTCCTGACTTCACCCCAAATGACCTGGCTTTTACTGCTGCACAAATGGAAATGGCTTCAGTGTTAGCACCCACATTTGTTAGCCTGCAATCCAGAATGTGCTGCACTGGTCAGTCTGAAAGCTCTTAGCAAGAACAAAGAGCTGATGCTGAATGGTTTAGATTGTTGTAGGAGTAGGCAAAACAAAGAGTCATCTCTTCAACAAATATGTGGTCCAGAGGTGGGAATTAGTAGCCTGCCAACCAAGCATAGTCCAAGATAGCTACCATTTAACCTGTGTGGTGTTTACAAAGTTTCAGAATACTTACTAACATTTTTTTTTTTTTTTGGCTCGAAATACACTTTATTTCTTTCATTCTTTTGAATGGCTTAACGCTGTCTTGATATGATTGATTCTATAGTATACAAAGTTATACTCAAATAATTCAAGGAAAGAGGCACTATGGTGACTACTATTATGTTAGATTATCTGGTGGTGAAACAAAATGATTCTTCAATTTTTCAGTTCTGACCTGTGTTGTTCTATTACAATGTCTCTTTGTTCTTGATCTCCACCCTTTTAAAAAAAAATTATTCTATTTTTTCTTATTTTTTTCAATTAAAGGAAAACTAAATTAAAAAATAGCAGGATACATTAGAGTAACTTTTTTGTTTTTCTGTTAACCTGATTTTAACCCCAGTATTGCTCTCCCCATCTTGTTCTGCCTGATTTTACTATATTCTATTTTGTTTGATAGTATCAAGTTTGAGGGTATAGGCAACCACTTTTTAGGCAGTAAGATTTACTATGATGCCCATTATGGTTTGACTATTGTCTTCTTTTGAAATCCTGTAAGGTCTGCAGTGTAGATTTTATTGGTATTGTTCTGTACTGTTTTGATCAATTCTATTATACCTGATGATATAGAAACTCTTTTTAAAAATGGCAAGAGGCACAATGGTAATCATTTTTGATCATCTGGTATTCTATTTTTGCATCAAGTACTATGCCCATCCTTATGTCCTAACCAACTCTGTTTTGTTAACTCACTTGAGATTTTATTCTCTTCAAAAAAAGTAATAAGAACTATGGGAGTAAAACAAACCCAAAAGTGTAATTGTTATTGTGAAGAAGAAAGGAAAGGAAGGTGATCTAAGGGAAGTAAGTGCCTGTTTGAGTGTGTAGGAAGGAAAACCATATCACTGAGCTTTTGTTGGATCATTGAACAGAACTGTCTGCAGTCTCACTGTAGGTATGTTCACTTTATATGCTTTAATTTTATAATTTGGACAACTGTTTCTAAGAAGACAATATGTAACCTATTAACTAGTGATTTCTTACTGTATTTTTTTCTTGAAATTCTGTGTTATTTATACCCTTTTACTGCTTTGTTTTTTTATGTTTTTTTATTCTCTTTAAATTAAAAAATTAAACCTGGAATTTATATATTTTATTTATTTATTTTTTGGTACTGGGGATCAAACTGACAACCTCACACTTGCCTGGCAGGGGCTTAAGCCACTGAGCTAAATCCCCAGCCCCCCAATATATATCTTTGACATCTTATCATCTTCAGAGTAGTTGCCTCTGCTCTTGGACTTGATACCAGCAAGCATACTAAATGTGAATAAAATCAGTCAAGGCCAAATAACATTCAAACAAACCAGCTTCAAATAAGATCAGTCATAGTAAGACAATGTTAGTAATACAGGGTTTCAGTTTTAGTTAACAGGAAATTAAGGACAGTTACCATCATGGTATAACCTGCTATTTTTGGGTTACCTCTCTGTGCCCTCAAATCTAATGAAAGAATACTTACTAACATTTGAAACTTGCAAGATTTCACATTAAATTCTGACTTGTCATGTCTCTTGAAAAATCTAAGACATGGCAATGCTAGCAGCCTACTCAGCATCACATTCAGTGAACAGTGGTGATGGCCCTTGAGACAGGCCCATGTGCCTTGTCCTGACTGACACTGTCTTCTGTAAAGTTTGCATTAGCTCCTCTTTTCCCTGTTCCTCTAGGTTTCCTCTTTCCCTAGAAAAGGATTTTCATTCTTTTTCCTTTCTTAGTCCTAAATAGATATTGAATCTAGTCTTTAGATTGCAGGGAGACCAAAAGAATGGAACTTGACCTTTGCTCACACTTTTTTTAAAGAGGAATCTTGCTAAGTTCCCCTGGCTGACCTTGAAGTCTCAACAGTTCCTGCCTCAGCCCTCAGAGTGCTGAATACAGTGTAGATCACATATCTTAATTATATCTTAATTTCCTCTAATATGGATTCTTCCCCTACCCTAGAATCACTCAGTCCATCCTCTCTTCCAGGTAGAGGCCACCAGCAGAAAAGAAAAAGCCAAGCAGAGGCCACTGGCCCTGAACACTGTGGAGATGCTGCGTGTAGCCAGCTCGGCTCTGGGTATGTAGGGTTATTTTTCTAAATCTTCCAAAGACTTATTGAGACAGGTATGTGGCAGCTCTCATCAGTCCTGGTACAGGGCATTATCAACACCTTTAGCTGTGCTGAGCACTTCTCTCTTGCTATGATGCCCAGGGTGTAGAGAGCCTCCAAGTCTCTTGTAGGTTCATTTCTCTTTGTATGAAAGTTAGGTGTGCATCTTGTTTTGACTGATGTCCCCCTATTCTGTTTTGCTTGGTAGTACCAGGTTCGAAAGTTTAGGCAACAGCTGTGAAGATAGTGAGATTCATTATGACGCCCATTCTGATTGACTATTATCTACTTTTGAAGACCTATAATGTCTCCAATGTTTTGGTTTTGTCAGTTTTGTTCTTTACTGTTTTGTTCAGTTTTATTATAACTGATGATATAGGCAATTCTATTAGAGATAGCAGGAGGCATTATGGTAACCATTGTTGATCACATTGTATTATGATTTTACATTATCTATTATGTCCAACCTTTTGATTTGATTGACTCTGTTCTGTTATATCACATTTGGTTCTACTCCCTTCCAAAAAAGTAATAAGAACTGTGGGAGCAACAAAACCCAAAATGTGTAATAGTCATTGTACAAAAGAGAGGAAAAGAAAGTGCTCTAAATGATATAACTGCATGTATATTTAAGTGTATAAGATAGATAATGATATCACTGAGTTTTGTTGGATCATTGAACAGAACTGTTTGCAGTCTCACTGTTGGAATGTCCACTTTACAAGCTTTAATTTTGTAACTTGAACAATTATTTCTAAGATGACAATATGTAATCCATTAACTAGTGATTTCCTATTGTTTATTTTTTTCTGTAAATCTGTATAAATTGTACCCTTTCTCTGCTTTTTTTTTTCTCCTTAAATAAAATTAAAAAAAAAAAAAAAGAAAGTTAGGTGTGGTAGCACATGCCTATAATCCCAGCATTTGAGAGGCTGAGGCAGGAGAATCACTGTGAGTTAAAGGCCAGCCTGGGCTACATAAGCAAGTTCAAGGCCAGTTTAGACTGTATAGTGAGACTTTGTCTCGAAAAAACAAAAGTATATGAGAGAAATTATAGCTAAAAAAGAGAATATGCGTTTTCACAGGATTGCTAGTTAAGACTCAACAGTTTCCTTGAATTTATGTGAGGAAAAGAAGCACAGATGATTTCCTATTAACAGCTCCCAGGGCCTGGTTATATACAGCTCTCAGCCAGAGTGTGGGGCAAAGGCCATCCAAAGGCTACATCATCACCACAGTCATGAACACCATGACAGTGGTGCTGTGGAACAGGGTGAATGGTGTTTCTTGTCAGGCTTTTGCCCTGGGTCCACCATGATGGATCCAGAACTTGTCCTTGAACAGGTTCCATGGCACAGGTACCCACCTAGCCAATAGCAGAGAGTTCCATCTATGCCCTCACCCTCCAGGAGGTGGTTGCTATCTTGGGGGGAGCCAGAATGCCCAGGCCAGTGGGCAGGCACACAGCTCTCCCCATCTTCCTGGCCAGCTGAGTTTCCTGTCTTTCACAGGCATGGGACCTCAGCACGCCATGCAGACCGCCGAGCGACTGTATACACAGGGCTATATCAGCTACCCCCGGACAGAAACCACCCACTACCCTGAGAACTTTGACCTGAAGGGCTGTCTGCGGCAACAGGCCAACCACCCCTACTGGGCAGACACGGTGAGGGGAGTGGGCGCTGCTCCTGCACATACCTACACTGAGGCCTTGGGATAGGCTCATGGAACTAATGGCCAGAGCCTGCCCAGACTTCATTCTATTTTGTCCTGTCTCCCTCAGGTCAAGCAGTTGTTGACAGAAGGTATCAACCGCCCAAGGAAAGGCCATGATGCTGGTGACCATCCTCCCATCACCCCCATGAGGTCTGCAACAGAGGATGAATTAGGTATTGAGTGCCCCACTTGCTGACATACTCGCATTTCATGCACTGCTCAGTCTTCCAGGGTGGGAATGACAAGATGCTTCATCAGCATAGCCCTGGTGCACTGGTCAACAAGGCCATGTGCCTTCAGCAGTATGGAGGCTCCTTCTGCCCCTACTTTTCCCTTTATGGGTGAAGGCTTCACCTGAATATTGTTTCATCAAGGACAAGAGTGAAGTCTGGCAGCTGGTCAGGGAGAGGCCAGTGGGCAGATGGCCTTGGAAGAGGACCTGAGGCAGAGTGGTGGGGCCTGATGGTGAGCAGCACCTGATAGCTCCCACCTGGCCAAGACTGCTGGTGGCTTTCAGGCTAGACGGCATGGGAAAGGGAGAGCATCGCAAGTGGAAAGCCACTGTAGAACTCTGAGTATGAAGACAGGATAGAAGGATAAGATACTACTAGATGGTAGAAGGACAGTCCTGTACCTCTGGAGCAGGAAACAAGGAGAGGTTATGTGGGGAAAGAGGAGTGATGAGTGTGAAGAAACCACCCAGCATGGGGGACTGGCTTTCCCTTGCAGGCATTTCTTCCTCTTTTTTCATTTTTGGCGCAGGCTGTCCCTGGCATCTGTGCTAAGGCCTTGCTGCTAGAGGAAGCATTCTGGGGTCCTTAGCACCTCAGCCTCCAGTCAGACCCAAGGTGACTAGCCATGATCCTTCTGCAGGGGGTGATGCATGGAGGCTCTATGAGTACATCACCAGACACTTCATCGCCACAGTCAGCCATGACTGCAAGTACCTCCAGAGCACCATCTCCTTCCGGATCGGGCCTGAGCTCTTCACTTGCTCAGGGAAGACTGTTATCTCACCAGGTAAAACTGCAGGCCCCAAGGTGGGAGGCCTGGGCCACCCGGGACGAGTACTCAGTGCTGGTGCTGTGTCCCTCTAGGCTTCACAGAGATCATGCCCTGGCAGAGTGTGCCCTTGGAGGAGAGCCTGCCCACCTGTCAGAGGGGTGACACATTCGCAGTGGGTGAGGTAAAGATGCTGGAGAAGCAAACGAGCCCGCCTGATTACCTGACTGAAGCCGAGCTCATCACACTCATGGAGAAGCATGGCATTGGTGGGTACACCTGCCCAGATGTAGACATGGGAGTTCCCATTCCAAGGGCTGCACCAGGAGGCTGTACTTGCACTCTCCCCAGCACTAGCCCATGAGCCAGCAGTCAGAAACGGGCAGCCCACTGTGTGAACAGATGATTCAGACAAGCTCCCGTGGGCGGCTGCTCTTGAGGCCTTCGCATCAGGACATGGCCTCCCCCACAAAGCCCAAATGCACCCTTCGTGCCCTGAAGTGCCAGCACACTAACGAGCACCCATGGGACAGAGGGTTATTTTAGGATGCCAAAGGATTCACTAGGCAGATGAGCAAGACTGCCCTGGAATCAAGCTCTGGGCCTACTTCTCCAGGGAGCTGGGGCACCTGTGGTGGGTGCTCACAGAGCCCTCAGCCTGCTGTGGAGTGTAGGTCTGGTTTCCCAATATGTTGTAGCTTAGGAACTCATCCCATATCATAGCCTCTGGCAGTCATATACAGTGGTTTAGACCCAATCTCCGGTTTGTGACAGTGAAGAGGGTACTTATTTACAAAGGAGAGCGATGGGTGGTCCTGTTGATGGAGGCCACAGGGCTGTTTAAAAAGGACCTGTCACACTTGGAGCTGTGGCAAGAGCACACTGGGATACAGAGCCCCACATGCACATGGGCCAGCATATCCTATCACAGTAGGGTCCAGGTTCCAGTCTAGCCTAGAAGCCATGGGACTTTGACAGGCTTCTCAGTTTAAATTCATGTAGGAGTTTCTTACCCGTAAAGCTGCCTTGGAAAGATGCATGTCACCTGCCAGCATGGACATGTGTATACTCAGCCTGAGTTTCCTTCTTGCCCATAAACCACAGTCAAAATGCCTCACCTTTGGCCTTGGGAATTATGAAGGACCCTGGAGAGAGGGAGAATGTGAGCAGCAGGAAATGGGTTCAGTAGAGTGTGTAAGCTCTCCCTGAGACAGTTGGGTCCTGGCTCTGGGGTAGGCTGGAAGCCACAGTTTCCAGGTAGAAGAGGCCAAGGTTACATTCAACCATTGCAGAGTAAGTACTGTGACCTTGCCAGAATCCTTTAGCTTCTCTGAACCTCAGGTCCTTTAGTGCTAGCATAAGCACCATTTGACAGCCATCCTCAGGTTCACAAGGCAGTACATAAAAGATACTCAATTTGATCCAATACAGTGCAGGGGCACCAGGGGCTATACCATCTTCCCTCCTCGGGGTGGCGGGGAAGGGCTGAGAGGCAGGATCCCCGTGATGAGCAGGGGTGAAGTTGGAGTGCATAGGCCAGTGGGCCATGTTAGTAGCAGGCTGAGGAATACTGGGGCTTTGCTATGCATTTCAGGAACTGACGCCAGCATCCCTGTGCATATCAATAATATCTGCCAACGCAACTATGTCTCTGTGGAGAGTGGCCGCCGGCTTAAGCCTACCAACCTTGGCATTGTCCTGGTTCATGGTTACTACAAGATTGGTGAGTCTGAGGCCTGGGACCTGCCAGGGCTCACCAGCTTCCCCCTAGGCTGTGGCTCTGCTGCCTCCTCCACATAGACCCTGAGATGGTGGTGAGCCCTCAGCCTCTAATACATAACCCTAGCTCCCACCACAGGTGTACTGCCCAAGATCTGCCTAGGGTAGGGACTCAGGGCCTGCTTGATAGATGAACGGACGTGTGAAAAATCTAAAAGAGGACCTGAAAGGCTCTCTTCCTTCAGTAAGATGTCTGTTAGTTCTGTCCCTGGGAGATGCCCCTTCTGTCACCTATAGGAAACAGAAGACCACAGCACAAATCACCTAGGAGCAAATCTTGGCCGTTCTGTACAAGGTTTCCCTGGGGAAAGTTAGGAATGGTTTGAGACAGAGGAGCCAGCCTGGAGGCTGCATCCAGCTGGAGGAGCATCCGCCTCTCTGAGTGGGTATCCCAGGAAGAGGCCAGGATGATGGGCTAAAGATTGCTCTGCCTGGTGGGGATGACAGGACCCTGGTGTAAGTACTTGCAGCAGTGTCATCCTGCCTGCTCACAGATGCAGAGCTGGTGCTCCCCACTATCCGCAGCGCAGTAGAGAAGCAACTGAACCTCATTGCCCAGGGCAAGGCAGACTACCGCCAGGTCCTAGGCCATACCTTAGATATCTTCAAGCGGAAGTTCCACTACTTCGTCGACTCCATCGCTGGTAAGATCCTTGTCTTTTCTGCCCCTTAACAGAGGTTCCTCTGTCAAGGCCACCAAAACTCTGGAGCTGAGGGCACCCATATGAGACCCGCTCTTGAATCTGGTCTCCAGGCCTCTACAGGTGAGGCTAATGGTGTTGCTTTGATGATTACTATCAATACCAAAGAACAGGTGAATTAACACCATACACAGCACTGGGAACAACACTTGCTGCTCTGCCACTCCCACTGGTAATAGAAACCCCACTGCTGGTAAGGACAGTCATACCCAGATTCTGGACCATGTATGTGGCCTTCCACTCCAGCCCAGTGAGCCATACCAACCTGCCTTTCATAAGATGGACTGCCAGACACCAGAAGGAATGTGACCTCTGCATTGTGCTTGCTCTCAGGAATGGATGAGTTAATGGAGGTGTCTTTTTCACCCCTGGCGGCCACAGGCAAGCCACTCTCACGCTGTGGAAAGTGCCATCGGTTCATGAAGTACATTCAGGTAGGTGGGAATGAATACCTGTGACCATCCCTCCTGGCCATGGCACCTTTGGGCACTAACTCAGGCAAATTATGTCACCTCTTTGGCCACTACTTAATTATTAGTCATACAAAATAGCCTTTGTCTTGGTTGTCACATAGAATGATTGAGAGCACTAAATCAGCACCAATACATACCCACAGTGTCCCTGTGACCCCAGGAACACTACATAATCTATTAGGCCATGTAAACACACACTGTCCATTTTTCCTAACACCACATTTCTTGCTATTGTGAATATTAACCTGGGTGTCCGGACTTTAGAACTCCCTGTCTCTGTGTATAGGCTATGTGCCCTGAGACTCATGGCCAGGAATTAAGAGTTCCTTGCCTAGAAACACAAGGCATGCTGCATGCATGTTATATATTTTGTATTGTGAGGGGCAGGAAGGCAGGCAGGAGAGTCTGTGGCTCCAGCAACTCTTTTTACCTATTCTTGGCACTGCCATAGGCCAAGCCAAGCCGCCTGCACTGTTCCCACTGCGATGAGACCTACACCCTACCCCAGAATGGCACCATCAAGCTCTATAAGGAGCTGCGGTGCCCACTGGATGACTTCGAGCTGGTCCTGTGGTCATCAGGTTCCCGGGGCAAGAGCTACCCATTGTGCCCGTATTGCTACAACCACCCACCCTTCCGAGATATGAAGAAAGGTGAGTGTGGTGACCCTGTCCCTACATCACCAGTAATGCCTGTTCACACCAAGGGTGTCCCTTACCCCAACCCTTTCCACACTCACATGTGCTGAGATGAATGATCCCAGTGTATCAAGGTACTACTCAGGCATCAGTTGGTCTCTTTGCCACTTGCTGCCTGTGTCATAATTGGGCAGGTGACTCTAGGCCACTTGTTCACATGGGATTTGGGCAAAGTATGAGCTATACCCTTTCATTGGTGGGGTGACTGAGAAACTGCCGCTTGACTGCCAAGGTGATGAGGCCCCATTCCTCCCCTGCAGCAGCTTCCAGAGCAGTGGACAGTCCCATGTGAGACAATGACATGAGAGCCACATGAAGCCACTGTTATGAGCGATGGGTGCAAAGCACAGGATGGATAGACTCAGCTGGAATCTGTCAGGAAGGCATCAGCCTAGGAGGCCTTGATGATTGAGGGGATTTTAGAAAAGCAGAGAAGAGGGGCTGATAACATCTGGGGACTTCAGGAACCTGGGCTGGTGCAGCAAGGGTGTCTCCCAAGAGCAAAGCAGAGAGAAGCACTTTCTGCTGGGACATGGGGCCCAGGGTGTGAGACAGAGAGCAGACCCAGTGGCAGAGGGGAGGCATACGTGGCAGGTGTGTGTGTCACCAGGCTTCTTTCTCCCCCAGGCATGGGCTGCAATGAGTGCACACACCCTACCTGCCAGCACTCACTGAGCATGCTGGGCATCGGCCAGTGCGTAGAGTGTGAGAGCGGAATCCTGGTGCTGGACCCCACTTCAGGGCCCAAGTGGAAGGTGGCCTGCAACAAGTGTAATGTGGTGGCTCACTGCTTCGAGAATGCCCACCGCGTACGGGTGTCTGCTGACACCTGCAATACTTGTGAAGCTGCCCTGCTTGATGTGGACTTCAACAAGGCCAAGTCCCCACTGCCAGGCGATGAGACACAGCATACAGGCTGTGTTTTCTGTGACCCTGTGTTCCAGGAGCTGGTGGAGTTGAAGCATGCAGCCTCCTGTCACCCCATGCACCGCGGTGGGCCGGGGAGGAGGCAGGGCCGAGGGCGGGCCCGGGGCCGGCGGCCACCAGGGAAGCCCAACCCCAGGCGGCCAAAGGACAAGATGTCAGCCTTGGCAGCCTACTTTGTATGACAACTGTGTCTTCCCTCACCCAGGCTCCAATTTGACGTAGACACATCATGATGGTTGTCTTTGAACTACTGAAACCATTAAAATGAATTTGTCTTCTCCAGAGCAAGATGCTTGGAGCCTTTCACTTGTATAGCAATTCCAGAAGATTCATGTGTCCCTGAGGACTTATGGGGCTCCCTCCACTCTATAGCAGCTTTATACTCTGTGTGCTTCCAGAGTGTTTCCTGCTCTATCTAAATATGCCTGCGAGTGAAGCCATAAGTTCTGGTGCCATGAGGAATAGAGCCAGCCTGCAGCTTACATCTTGTCTCATTATTCATACGGTGATAGTAGCTGTGTATATAGGCAGGCAGCAGCCTGATGCTGTAAGGACAGTGGGCACTCATAGTCCATCGGTCTAGCAGCAGCATCAGAAAGAGGCCTATAACAGATCTGAGGAGAACTGTGGAGAGAAGCAGCAGTTTACACAGTCACAGCAGCCCCCATAACACCCCCATCCTAGACCCTAAAAAGCCAACACTGAGATTTTCTGAAACACACTGTGGGAAATGACTCCAGAGTTGAAAGAAAATGGTCACTGAGAGGGAGAGGTGTCACTGGGAAGGCTGCCCCTGAGTAAAGGCATACTGACAGCTTCTGCCCTGTCCCCAGCCACTTAGTCCTATTTTGGGATCTGTCTAAGCTAGTTCTGTTTGTCAGAGTGGACCCAACCTTTTTTCTACAAGAAGGAAACCTGGGGTCCTAATACTCCAGAACCCTTCCAGGAACCAGACCACATATAAGGTTAGTTTGGTCTATCTTAAACCCAGACCAACCAGTCCATCCCTACCAGATTCTGCACTGAGATTTCAGCTGTGAAGAGGACTGATCATGAAGTGTTCCTTTATTTCTCTCTGCAACTATACCTTATACTTGAATTTCCCTCACAGACATCCCTCAACCTTTGCAGCTGGGTTATGTGCTCTTGGTCCTTTTACTTTATACAGTACCTCCCAGTGGGGTCCAACCCATGGCCTGTGCTAGCTTGGCCTCTGGCAGCAGTGCAGATGATGAAGGGAAGACAGCCTAAAGCCAGCACTGTCTCAGCAGCATGCTCCTTGGGACCATCCCTGCTGCCCTGGAGGCTGGAAAGGACAGTGGCTGTAGGGCCACAGAGGGAACTATGTACAGAATCTCAGACCAGCCCTCCCTCCCCAGCTTTGTACACAGCTCGCAGTGGCCAGGTCTGGTTGTCTAGCTGACTTGTCTGAACACAAGTAGTTGTCCTTGGCAGACTTCATGTTACTTTGAGATCATGGTACATATTGACAGTAGGAAGAGGTGTGTTGTGTGTGTGTGTGTGTACACTTGCACATGTGCTTACATGTCACTCAGCAATCCAGGCCTGCAGGATAGGAGCAAAAGGCACTGCTGACCTGCAACTATGCTCTCACTTTCCTTCCATTCCCTATAAAGAAACTAGCAGTCAAGGAACACTCAAGAGTCTCCATTAGAAGATACAGTGCTGGTGGGCATCTCATCACTAGTATCCTGGGAAGTCAGGAATAAAGGCTTTACAATTCCTGAAGTTACAGGCATCACCAGTAGTCTGAAAGCCCAAGAGTGATATAATCTTAATAATAATAAGATGTGTCTGGGAATATGAGTGGTGTGTCAAGACAAAGGTGTTTTTATTCACCTGTAGGTGGCTGAGGTCCTCAAGAAACAGGAACAGAGGATTCAGGGGAGGCTTTCCAGAACAGGGAACATTTGGGAGAGAGTTCAGTCCGAAAAGGCAGAGGCAGGAGGATGTTATGGTTTATGTCGAGGTGTCCTCCAGGCCTTCATCTGCTCATAGGTGGGGCTTTTGGGAAGTGGCTGGATCTTGGTTGTGCAGCAGTATTCAAATTAGTCTAATGATAAGTTAATAGGTGGGTGCGGTCTTGGGAAGTTAAAACTGCTGGGAAGAGTTGGATCACTATATACAAATATGCATATATCCTGCCTGCCACACCATGAACTGTTTCTCCTCTGCCATGCCACTCAGCCTTAGAACCAGTCAACTGTGACCTGAAACCTCTACAAAATGTGAGGTGAAATAAACCTTTCCATCTTTTTTTTAACGTGTTGTATTTTTTTTCAAATCCATTTTATTTCAAAGAGAAAAAAAGCAATTTCAAAATATGACAGGACAATTGTGGTATATACATTACACATTGATATCTCCAAATCAGTCACCTGGAGCACAAGATATCCACATTCAATTGTCCTAACAGTATGAGTGCAAATCTTTCTCTTCAATGAACTCAGAGAAATTAGTAGTATAACTATCTTTATTATATGTATGTATAAGTATATACATATGCATATATACATAAATGGTTTCAGCATCTCACACTAGTGAAACAATACAATGTTTATACGTGTGTGCCTGATTTATTTCTCTTATGAGTATGGACTCAAGTTGCATCTATATACCTATAAAAGTCTCATTTGGGTCCTTGACAGCCAAATATCACTCCATTGTATAAAAGTACCACATCTTTTTAATCCATTCTTCAGTCAATAACCTTTCCTTCTTTAACTTGTGGGTGTCAGGCATTTTTTCCCAGCAATGGTTACTGAGACACAGGAAGACCCAGGGCTGACACTCTCATGGTCCCTGGCTCTAGCTAGCTAGGGACACAGCCTTGCTAGAGAAGCAGGGACTTTGTGGGCAGTGAGGTGGGTGGTATAAGCTTTTTTCCCCCTGGCTTTCAAGGGAAACATTTTTTTTTTTTTTTGTCTTTCTCGTTTTTATCGGTACCAGGGATCGAACTCACGACTGCCTGCTTGCAAGGCAGGTGCTTATGCCGCTGAGCTAAATCCCCAGCCCCTTAAGGGAAACATTTTTGTAAGCCTCTATGGTGGCAGAAATATGACTTCCCCCAATATCCGTGTTTTTATACCCAGAACCCATTCCAATGTTACGTTATATGGCAAAGGGAAATTAATCATCTTACATAAATATACTGTTACCTGGGTGTGAGTGGGCCCAATGTTATCACAAGGACCTTTAGAAGTGGCAAAGGGAATCAGAAGAGGGAACCAGAAAGATGACAGCAAAGGAAGGGTTTAACTGTCCTTTGCTGGCTTTGCAGATGGAGGAAAGGACCCTAAGCCAAGAAATACTGGTAGTCTTAGGAGCTGGAAAAGAGAAGGGAAGGATTCTCCCCTGGAATCCCTGAAAGGAGCATACTTATTGACACTTGGATCTCAGCTCATAGAGACCAGAGACTTTTGACCTCCAGGCCTTTCATGTTGTGGAAACTTACCCCCTAAAAGTGTGAGCTCTAGAATACTGTGCCTCCTACGTACCTAGATAGTTTGCATCCCTGCTCTGCCACGTATCGCGCAAATTGCTTAAGTCCTAGGTACCGTGACATAAAGATTGCTTTCCCCAAGTATGCAACATTGGCAGAGTGAGACATACTTTTCATCAGGCACAGGTGTCCGCCTAAAAGAAAAGAACCGCTGTTGCGAGACCGCCAGAGGGCAGCAGAAATTCAGCCCCACCCGCGGGAGGCCTGACTGCGCCTGCGCAGCGCCCGCTGCGGCCCGGGACGGGAAGTGGGCTGGACCCGCCTGGAGCTGCTTGCGGGGCACGGAGCTGCTAGGTGGCAGGTGAGGCCCGCGGGGACCTGAGGGTGGAGAAGCCCCGGAAGCAAGATTAGGACGCTGACGTTCGTGGGGTGACGGTCAGGTGGGAGCTCAGGGTGCACAAGGGTAAAGTGGAGCTCGGGAACCACAGAGGCGGAATAGGGGGTCCAGGGAAACTAGAAGGCCCAGCTGAGGCTCAGGTGCAGGCTGCTTAGGGTGGAATGAGGGCTGAAGAGCGCAAGAGCCTCTGAGGTCCCCTGGAGAACCGGAGGCGTGGAATCAAGGGGCTGTAGTGCTAAAGGTGTGGAACTGGGGGGGGGGGTCCTTTGGCTTGGCAGGGGTGTGGCCAAACCGAGGGCCTTGTGGGGGCCCAGGGCTGTGAGGCAAAACTAGGTGCTGACGGGTGACACACCCGTATTTTTAAGGAGCCAGCCTACCCGCTGTCCCAGGAACAAGTGGGTCAGGCCCATTGCCTTCCCTACTAATCCACCACGCAGGCCCGTTTGTAGGGGCCACATCTGGTTGACTTGAGTCCTCCCACCTGTGGCTCCCTGGGGCTAGTGGGGGGATGCAGGGAAGCAGTGTGTGTTAAGATGAGTGTTTCCGTTAAAGCAGTGCTTGGGCTGCAGCTGCATCAAGGGAATTGTGTAAATTACAGCCTCCGGCATGGAGACCTTGGGCACCACCCGTGCAGCTGGTTGAGCACAAGGCAAGCCCTTTAACCTGTCTGTGCAATGGGGAGAAATAGCACTTGCCTGTAGCAATTTTTGCACAGGGCCTAACACAGTGGACTCTCATCAAAGTCTTGCACCTCGTGGTTCTCCTAGTGACACATCCTCATGGAATTCTCTGCAACAAGTTCTGTGGGCTGAGCTCTGCTCAGGGGATAATGTGAGGCTGGCAGGCACTATGTGGCTGACTCAAGCCCTTTTCTGGTTTTCTATGCCCATATCCGTACTACTGTCAAATTTTACTTTTCCTCCTACATCCAGTTGAGGTGGAAATGGCAAAGTCACAGGGTATCAGAAGACTGATTGGGTCCTGCTTTGCCATTTCCTACTCCTGTGACCTTAGACATCCTGCCTCATGCAACATGTCTTAATGGTTTGTATTCGTTAACATAGTTGTGAAAGGTAAGTGTGTCCTGTGTGTATCTGTCAACATAGTTGTGAGAGGTAGAATGAGTTCTATTTTGAAAGCTGTAAATTATTCGTTTGTGGAATTCCTTTGAGATGTCACAGGAAGCCAGGCCTGTCTTTCAGCCCCTTCTCACTGTATTGAGAGAGTGTTTAGGTTCCTCCCTGAAGGTGCCAGGCCTCAGGCCATACATTTAAGCCCATGACTGGCAACTTCCTCTTCTATGTGTCCCCACACTTACCACCTGCTGAATACAAGTCACAGTGGATTCCCTGAACAACGTAAGTGAGCTTGTGATCCTTCAGTATCTCTTTTTTATTTTCTTCAGTAAACCCTGTAAGTCAGGCATGGTGGCTCATGCCTGTAACCCTAACATTCGGGAGACTGAGGCAGGAGGATCATTGCAAGTCTGAGACCAGCCAGAGCTACAAAGTGAGCTCAAAACTAGCCTGAACTGAGGCCCTGTCTCAAAAAAAAAAAAAAAAACCTCTGTAAAAAAGAAAGTGGTTGAGCACTAATGAGAATGTGCTTAATATCACAGAACTATACATTAAAAATCATTAAAGTAGTGACTGGGAGTATCACTAGCTCATGCTTAGTATGCACAATTCTCAGCCCTGAGAAAAACGAAAAGTTAAAGTGAATTATAAGTTTTGTATTGTATGTATTTTATCCCAACAAAGTGTGTGTGTGTGCATGTGAAAAAAAGAGTTTAAACCAAACGCTTCCTAATAGTCATTTATGAATAAAGAAATAAGATTCTCCATTGGTAGAAAGTATACTTTGAATATAAAACTTTTATAACATAACTCTCCATTTTTAAGGAGTGTTGTTTGTTTGTTTTTTGTCTTTTCGAGACTGCGTCTTGCTAAGCAGTTCAGACTGGCCTTGAGCTCACAGGCCAGGCTGTTCTTGAACTTGTAACAATCCTCCTTCCTCAGCCTCCCAAATGCTGAGATTATAGGCATGCACCCCCATGCCCAGCTTTTATGTGTGTTTTTATCAGGGTTCTGAAATACAACAAAACTCAAATACTTTCTCTGTGCCACTAAGGGGAAAAATGCAGTCTTACAATTATCCTTTAATTGGGCTTACGGGTCAAAACTGGTAAACTAAAGGAAAATAAATATTTTAAATTGCAAAAATTTTGTATAAGGTAGGTGCAAGAAAAAGGGCCACAGAGCTATGGAAAGCAGCTTGCTGGACCCCAAAGGTAGGAAATGTCAGCAGAACCTTATAGGATCAGAGATCTCAGGTGGGGCAATAAAGCACAGGAGCAGAGAGGTAGAAGCTGTCCCAGGGCACTGGGCACAAAAGTAAAAGTATCCCTGAGAGAGCTGAATCTGGGAATTGGTGACAAATGAGGATCAGGCCCAGAAAAAAGTCAGATCACCTTCCAGGGTTTGTCACAGTTAGGAGCCAGTTCCCTAGCATGAACCCTACCTAAGAAATTTGGGCAAGTCACATCCCTTGTGCTATAGTCCCCACTTGTAAAGTAAAGAAAACCACAGTGAAGTTTTCAGGAGATTAAAACAGGTAACAGAGAAAGAGTGCTCAGAGCAGTGCTGGTATCCCAGGCCCCTGGCAGATATTAGCTGGCAGCACTGTCTGACATACCATGTGGCTGCCAACTGATGAGCAGTGTAGAGGGGCACTGTTCTGGGAGTTGGGAGGAACCAGTCAGGGGTCACATTTGGCAGGCACTTCTGAGGTTGGGAGCCCAGAGTCTCTCCTGTGTCCCCCACTCCATCCTTGGTAACTTGCACAGACTCGTGCACAAACCCCTCCCGCTACCAGTGAGTCATGATGGCTTTGCAACAGAACAGCCCCACCTTCTCCCCTTCAGCCTCATCCTGAGACCACCTGTGAGGCAAGTACCACCTGCCTCCTGAGACTGTTTCTACTAGTCTCTACCCAGGGACTGTGCCCTGCCCATCCAGGCACTCTTAGGGCGCCTGGTCTCCCTTTGAACCAGGAGGACTTTCTCCTTCCCACTGCTGAGTGCCTTTCTCTCTAGACTGTGAGATTCTAAAGGCAGGGATTATTTTGCTCCTGTTGGTAAGGCATGCATCAGACTTGGGAGTTGATGTGGGGAAGGGGGAAGAAATTATCCTTGGCCCTCACCTTGTCTAGATTCCAGGAAGGAAAATGGTCCTGGTTTTTCTCATCTCTGGCCCAAACTGTATGATGCAGAAATGAGTCTCAGTGGTCTCCAGCAAGCAGGATAGGTTCTGAGCACTCTGCCTTTCTAATAACAGTGCCTTTCTAATAACAGTGGGCATTTGGCACTTTTCCTGAGAGGAAATCATCCTGACCATTCTGCAGATGCAGGCAGAGCTCTGTACACATGCATCATGGTGGTTGGGGCCCATGCCAGGTGGTGGGCTCAGGACAGTAGGCACAGGGTCAAGCATGCAGGCATGTGGCTGGGCACATAATATGCTTGCTAGAGTCAGGGTCTGTAGTGTTAGTGCCTCCAACCTCAAGGGAACCAGGCACAGGAAATCCTCCAGGGCTAGGAGGCCAGAAGAGAGTGCTCAGCAGAGTCCCCAACAAGTATCCTCCAATGTGGAAGGCCTTGAATTCTGTACTCAAAAGTGGGGCCATATGCTGTGGGCTGAGGTTTCTTCAACTGTGTTATGTGGCATGAGCATGCTGTCCTTTCATTTGGACCCTAATCATAAATTTATCATGCGCATATTTAACACAGCTGGAGATATCAGTGCCTCTACATCACTTAGAGTTGTATGAGGCCAGGCCTGTTCCAAACTCTTGGCAGTTGCTTGGGGGCAACGCTGCATTATGCATGGCACTAGGAGGCCAGAGCAGCTTACAGGCAGAGAAGAGGACTTGATCCTGAGCTTGCTGGAAAATTCACTCCCATCTCTTTGTTTTCTCCTGGGCTTAATTGTCCAGGCTTCACAGCTCTGCTGGTCTGTGCTGGCAGCCCTGCCTTTCCTGCCTGTTTCTGCCCCAACTCCCAGCCTGCTCTCAATGCTCCGTTTCACAAGGTCTTACCTTGATGGTTAGAATGTAAGTGCTGTTCCCATCTACTTTTTCTTTCTTTGCTTTCTCTCTCTCTCTCTTTCTTTCTTTCTCTCTTTCCCTGCTTGCCTTTTGTAACCCAGGCAATGGGAGTTTTATTTACTTGGACTTATGTGTAAATATGAAAATCGAATTTAAGTCTAACCCTGAAACTGTCAATAACAGGCACAGCTTATTGCTACATTCTTTGAGTGTGTGTATTTTTATTTATCAAAAACAAATTAACTTTTGATTTCTGTCTCTAAAAGAAGGGAGATGTTTTATTATTTTAATTTATCACATTGTGTGTGTGTGTGTGTGTGTGTGTGTGTGTGTGTGTGTGTGTTTAGACAGGGTTTCTCTATGTACTTCAGGCTGGTTTGTACTTAATTATGTAGTCCAGACTGGCCTCAAACTTGTGGTGATCCTCCTACCTCATCCTCCTAAGTGCTAGGGTTCCAGGCATAGGTCACCATGCCCCAGCTTGCCCCATTGCTCTGTACTCCAGATCCTTCACTGATTTGACCTGGTGTTGGGACACTTCCCTCACCAGTGGTACCTCTCCTCTCACCAGAGCTTAGGAAGCCTAAGCCATTCTGAATTCATGACTGATTCCTACTAGAGAGCATTGACCAGGCTGGCCCACATTCCAGAGGGTACCACCCCTTCCAGGCTAGCCTTCTGCTTCTCTCTTGCCCAACTCTTGGGCAGCCCTGGGTCTCTAAAGAGCCCTTCTTGCTCCCACTTTGAACCATCTCCCAAATGCTCCTGAACTGACTGCTTGTTTATGTTATTCCCCTAAACCAGTAATGGCAAACCTTTTAGAGACTGAGTACCCAAGATGCAGCCCCAAACCCACTTATTTATTTATTTATTTATTTATTTTTTTAATCGGTACCAAGTAGGCGTTGAAGGGGTGGACTGCAGGCTGAAAGCAGAGGAGGAAAAGAAATGCCAATGTCCAAGCAGGGGCCTTTGGCATGCAGACAATACAGAGATGGGTGAGTGGCTGACCAAGGAGAGTTTTGAGAAGAGAGTGATCAAACTCACAACTGCCTGCTTGCAAGGCAGGTGCTTATGCTACTGAGCTAAATCCCCAGCCCCTAAACCTACTTATTTATTGCAAAGTGCCGACACTACAATTAAACCTGAATACTAATATGTTAGTTTAGAAAAAAACAACTGTTATCTGATGTTGGTGCTGCTATGGCAACTTGGCTTGCATAATGACAGGGCTCTGTGTGCTATAAGTTCACTGCCACTGCCCTAAACAGTCTCCAGCATATGTCCCTTCTCCCATCTGGTCACCATTTCCAAGCATGCAAATGTGACATCACTTCTTTCCCTCAAGACGCTTCTGACTGCCTAGGGTCCCATGCTCAGGTCTGCTCAGTCACCTGCCTCAATGACGTGGCCCTGAGTCCTTCTCCTATCTTCATCTGGCCACAGCAGCCATCCTTTGCTGGGAATACATGGCCACTGTCTCCAGCATCATCTCCCGAGACTGCTTCTCTGGGCACCCTCATGTACCCACTTGGACCTGTGTCAGGATCTTACCAGGGGTTGACACTCCACTTTGTTCTCCCTAAACTCTGAGGCCCGGGACTTATTGAGATCCCTGCTGACCATCAGTGACCTGCACTCCACGTTGGAGGGCACTTATCACCCTGTGATCCCACAATCTCTCCCCAGAGTGAAGACTGACTCGAGACTGTTACATCCTTGTCCCAGCTGCAAGCTCCCCGGGATGTTCTGAACATCTCCTGTGGAGCCCCACAGAACAGCAGCCCGATGGCTTGTGACGCAGAAATCTCAGACTTCCTGAACACATTTCTTCAAGACTTCCCAGCCCCACTGAACCCGGAGAGCCCCTTGCCATGGAGGTTCTCGGGAGCAACTCTGAGCCGAGAAGAGTTGGAGGGCGAGCTGGCTGAGCTGGCGATGGGCTTTCTGAGCAGCAGGTAGGCCTGTGCTACCTGGGAGGGGTGGAGACTGGACTCCAGCAAAAGGGGCACATGGCACATGCCCTGAATAGATGGGAGGAGGCTCTGCCAAGTGTGTGCACCACACACTTGTGGCTTATGACACGTAGCCACGTGGCTTAGGAAGCAGTGCTCTGTGACTGTGGTCTACAAGGTAGGAGACATGTACAAACAGTTTATTGGTAGGTTTGGGGGAAATGTTTTAAAGACAGATAGTATCAGCCTGGGGCGGGGCAGAGCCAGCCATACTGGGTGCAGAAAGGAGGGAAGGATCTGAGCCTGCCTTCTGGAGAGGAGAGAACCACAAAACAGAGGCACTCAAGGGAGTTGAAGGAGTTCTGGGCGGGGTACAGCAGTCACTTGGGCCTTCCATGGAGGTGACAAAAAGCTGTCTGTCATTGCCTTGGGTAATTGGGAGTATCAAGGAGGAAAGCCAAGTCCAGGAGGATTTGAGTGGGCTGGTGAGGGAATGTGGCCAGAACTTCGGTGTCAAGTGGGAGCCCAGGGATTTGCAAGGCCTTTGAGCTGAGGCATCAGTGCAGGACGGGGGCCAAGTCAGAGTGCAGGGCCTGGAAGGAGAGGGGGAATCTAGATGGAGAGGGCTGGCTTTGCTTTACAGCAGAAAGTGGGAAGGGCTGGCGTGGGAAGAGTGTTGGCAGTGACCTGCAGCAGGAGGTGCTCTGCAAAGGGCTGAGCAGGAACTAGGGTTCAGGCCAGGGATGGACAGAGGCTACACAACCTTGGCCCCAGCGGGTTTTAGACATGTTGAAGGAGAACCAGAACTTGTTTGACATGGATGTCAATGGTAAGAAATGGGTGAGGAACCAAAATTCCCCTTTGGTCTGAAGCTGGAGGGGGTGGCACAGAGCTCCCAGAGCCGAGGAGGGATTAGGCCCCCATATCCATCCTCCATAACACATCTTAAATCATGTTACATAAGAGCATTCTAAGGTATTCTATTTCCTAGCCATCTTAATGGGTTTCTTATTTTAGTTCATTTCTAGTATTTTATCCCTTATGCAGACATGCACATTCATAGGTGGCGTCATCACTTGGGGTGTGTCCACAAGTGCCCACTGCACATGCACACGTGTGGTTGCTCTTTCTCAAGATCTGCTTTGTGCTGGGCTTCTGCCCTTACCACCCAGGAGCAGATTCTTGGATATAAAGGGGCCATGGCCCTTTTTCAGATTTTAAATGGCCTCCTCTGAGGCTGTGTAGATATCAGATCACTGAGCCTCTAGGGTGTGTAAATTTTCTGTCCTGTTTTCCTTTCTTACCAGTGGCAGTTTCACTGTCATATCATTTGTCCTCGAGTAGTGCATACCTTTCACTGGAATTTAGACGCAATTTTCTTCTCTGCTGCTAGACTCTAACCTTCAAGGTGGATGGACTAGTTTTTCTTGAGTCCCTATACTAGTTCCCCAGATTACCCTCCAGGTAAGTTTAGGAGCCCCAGCGCACAGAGGTCAGAATCAACGTTGACTTTCATGATGCATCCACTCAGGGCTGAGGGGCTCCAGGGCACGCCTCTTGGATGAGATAAGGGCTATGTCCAGGAAAGGGAAGCAGGTGGCTTGTGGCCAGCCATTGTCTGAGTTCCTTGGCCAGAAGCTGCCTCCCTGCCCCCAGCAGCAGCAGCAGCAGCAGGCAGGAAACCGAAACATGACTTCACCAGGACTGAGTAGAACAGGCATCCTTCTCCTGCCAGGAAACGGGAAAACCCAGAGATTAGCAGGAAACCCCCAGATGGTGGAGGAACTCATTGCTCATATCTTGGATGGATTTTTTGATTTGGAGGTGGGGTTCTGTGGAGCTGGAGTTCAAACCTAGGCTCTTGAGCATGCAAGTGCTCCATTCCAAACCCTACATTGAATTTTAATCTTCCAAGGCCTGGTGGTTTTAAAAATTGGTTCTAGAAGCTTCTCTCTAAGGTTTTTTTTTTTGTATTGGGGATCAAACTCACGACCTCACACTTAACAGGCAGGCACTTGTGCTGCTGAGCTAAATCCCCCGCCTATTCCTCCCTAAGTGATCCTCTTATTTAAAAAAAAAAAAAAAAAAAAACACCCCTGGAATTCTAAAGTCCATCAGTAGATACCTCAAGTGCTCAGCCCCTGCAGGTTATGACCCATCAGCCAGGCTGCTGGAAAAGCCTTGTCCTCAGGGTAAACCTATGTGTCAGCCCAACAGAGACTCATTGGGCTGTCCCCAGGGATGGGCACACAGCAGTAAATGCACATCCTCCAGCTTCTGCCCTACTCCCTGCCCCCATTGACTGGAGAGGCAGATTCTGGGAATCAGGATGCATCTTAGAGGTTTTAGGGCCACCAGGAAGTGATTTCTTCTACTGAGAGAGCCAGCATGGGCTTCTGTGGATGCTGAGTCCCCAGTGCCAAAAGCCTGTGTGTGTGTGTGTGTGTGTGTGTGTGTGTGTGTGTGTGTGTGTGTTAGGGTCTCATTTCCCAGAATCTCAGCCATCCTCCCACTGCCCTGGTTGGCCACAGCTGGCCTCAGTCACTCTCTTCTCAAAACTCTCCTTGGTCAGCCACTCACCCATCTCTGCATTGTCTGCATGCCAAAGGCCCCTGCTTGGACATTGGCATTTCTTTTCCTCCTCTGCTTTCAGCTTGCAGTCCACCCCTTCAACGCCTACTTGGCTCTTCAGCTTTGTTCTCTGACCTTCAATGCTGTCAGCTAAGTCTCATTTCTCATAGTTTTCCCTCCATGGCCGCAGGGAGGACATCTACCCGCTTGGTCCCCACTTCTCCACGTGCTTCCTGGCTCTCCTCCTGATCAGGAGAGCTCCTGCTGACTCGCCTTCATTCACCCCACAGCTCCACCTCCTGCCACACCATGTTCCCATCACTCTCCAGGCCTTGGGAGTTTAGCAGAATCTGAGAACTCATGGAATAGAATCTGTTGTCCTGTCCCAGGCAGGCTAGTTAAGGTATCCAATGCCACCCTCAGTTACTCAGAAATTTGAGCTATCCCTGTTTCTCCTTCTACCCCACTCCTGATCAGCCTCACTATGGCCTGTTGCTCAGAAGAGGTCTGGCCTCGACCTCTTCTAGACTGTGGTCACCACCTTCCCACCAACATTTGCTCTTTAGCTCCCCCTCTACACCAAAAGATATAAGACACCAATCTGATCATACCATATCTTTCTTCCAAACAGACCAAATCAGTGGCTCCTGATGACCACCAAGCCTGCCCTAACCATTATTCCCATCACCCCAGCCCTACCTGCCCAGAGGCCCTGGCTTACTTTTACAATGCATGGCTTATCTTTGGTAACAGCACCGAGGTCCCATGCTCTCTGAATCAGCTTCCCGAGACTGTTGTACACAGGCCCACAGACCATGCAGCTTGAAGAGTAGAGATTCTGGAGGCTAGGGTCTGAGATGAAGATGATGACCCTGAATCAGCGGGTCAGTTTCTTCTGGCAATTCTCAGACAATACTCAGGCTCATTGTTCACATTTCTGGCTTATTTTCAGAGTGCTTCCTCCCAGTTTACATGTCTGTGTCCAAATTCCCCCTCTTTCATAAAGCCACCTGTCATTGAAGTAGGGACACATCCCATTCCAAGAGGACCTCACTAATTCCATCTGCATTGACTCTGTTTCCAAATAAGGCTTCATTCTGAGGTACTGAGGGCAAGAGCTTTGATATATGAATGGAGAGGAAACCAGTCAGCTCTTAACATGGCCTAACTGTTGGGAGTTCACCAGCTTGCAGTGGTGACCGTGTGTTCTCTCCTGTGGCACATGGACCAGGTACCATCATCTTGGGTGTCAGTCTGCCCAGCCACTGAGGATCACTTGTCTTGGTGGCACCCTCTCTGCCTCTGCCCTGGATTTGCAGTTGGTCCAGCAAGGTCCCAGTAGAAGAGGCATGTCTGCCTCCCCTGGGTTTTATGTGAATGACCCCTAAGGAGAAAGGGTACCCTGCTCATTGTGACCCCAGCAGGGTACAAACCATGATTTCTACCTGTGGCAGGCCTTTCTGGTTGGGGAGTGTCAGACCAGCTCCTGCTGGGGAATCACTTACGCTTCACTTCTCATTCTCATCCCTAGGAATGCCCCACTGCCACTTGCTGCAGCTCTGACCCATGAGGCCATTTCCCAGATGCTGCAGGCTGACCTTTCAGAGTTTAGGAAGTTGCCCAAGCAAGAAGAGGAAGAAGGGAAGGACAATGAGGAAATGAAGGCTACGGTGACCTGTGAGTTCTCTGCCTAGCAGGTGATAGACTAAAGGTGACATTGTGGGGAGCCTGTTGAGCAGAGCCAAAAAGGGGTTCACGCCAAGGTACTTGCCCATTGGGAATGACGGGATCTAGTTATAGAGACGGTGTGTCATGGTAGCATGTAGCCAAGAACAGGGAACGTAGCCTTCAGTGCACTGCTCAGGGTCAGCTGGTGGGTGCCAGGCTCCCTCCTGTGTCCCATCTCATTGAAGTTTCAGAATAGCCTTTGGAAATAACTGAAGCTTGTTCTGCTTTACACATGAGGAAACCAAGGTGCTCACTGTCAGGCAACCAAGTTGAAATGTACTTGCTGTCATGCCTCAGCTAGCACGAGGTCAGAGTCAGCAGCCTGACGCATCAGCCTATGCATGGGATCACATCATGGTCCAGATAGTAGAAAACTCGATAGAGCATGGACCTCTTCTCTTGACTTACCAGGTTGGGACCTCATTAGCATGAGGTACTCAGGAGTGAACTTGAGGTTCTTGGTGGCATTGATGTTTGCTTTTTTTTTTTAATCGGTACCAGGGATTGAACTCACAATCGTGTGCTTGCAAGGCAGGCGTTTATGCCGCTGAGCTAAGTCCACAACCTCAGGGTGGCAGTGATGATCGCTTGTCTGTCAGCCCACTTTAGAAACAGCCATCACTGAAACCAAGGCCCTGAAACACCATTGCATGACCACAGAACCCCAAAGATGGAGTAGTCACTGACAGGCCTGCAGAGCTGTTTGACAGTCTGTTCATGAAAATGTAGGGCTTGTGTTCAGGGCAGTGGCAGATACCTGTAATGGAGGCTGAGGCAGGAGGAACATGAGTTGAAGCCCTACAGGGCAACTTAGCAAAACCCTGTCTCAAAATAATGAAATTTTTTGGAAGGGTGTGCAAAGGCCCTGTATTCAGTTCCTTACTACCCCCTCCAAAAATGGACTTTTACTTAACTGCGTGATTTTCTCTTTTTTAATAATTATCTTTTATTGTATTTCACCAAAGTGTTGATTCATGTTGGACCCGAAGAGCCCTTGGCCAGGCAGGAAACAAAGTGACAGGCTATAGGGAGGTCTCCCATGGGATCTTTGCAGCTCGTTTTCCAGCCGGCGGTTTGCCTCTGCAGAGCCATCTGAGCAGCAGGAAGTAGATTTCCCTTCCTTTGCCATTTCCTTTCTGACCATGTTACTTTGGCATTAGTGCAAACATGTAGGGAGAAGCAAGGAGGGAGAGAGAAGAAGAAAGAAAACTATACGAAGCCTCTAGCATCAGTGGCTGCCAGGCTGTTCCCCTCTTCTTTCTGGTCCCCTTCTCCCTGGCTTCCTGCCTGCCTTCCATCCGTGCACAGCCTTGTCTTTCTGTCTAGGAGACAGTTGTCCTCAGTAACAGGCTACCATTGTTCTCTGCATAGCCAGCAGGCACCCGCCTGGTGGCAGCTGCCACTAGCCCCACTAAAGGATTACATCCTCCCCTCACCCTCTCCTGGTTTATTTCTCTGCCTGGCCAGGCGGGAGACAGCGCTAGCTGCTGGTATAAAACAGAACTGGTGCGCCTTGCTGAACGAGACATCTTGGACCTGTGGAGGAGGGAGAGGGCCCAGCCAGAAGGAAATCACAGCCTGCCCTGTCTGTCCCAGAGCAGAGTCATGCAAGTCTAGGCTAGTGGCATGGATCATTCACAGCACCAGAACATAGCAGACTGTCCTCTCCCAACCTATCCTTGCAAAATCACTTCAAGGCAAACAGACTTTGTGGACTCTCCACTGCCCAAGGGCAGAGATATGACAGAAACAGTCTCTGTGCCTCCCAGCCAGCCCCGCCCTATTGATAGGAAAACAAAACTCATGAAGCAATTGCTAAGGGCATGAAGACTGTGGCCCTCCAAGCCATCAGGATCCTCCTCATTTTTACTTGCCCTGGGACTAAGCAAGTTTCAAGTTCAAACACAAGGATGGAAATGGCAGTACATCCTAAGGCAAGAGAGGAAAAGACAGCAGGATCTGGTGAGGTCTTCAGGTCTGATAAATGCCGGCTGTTTCTGGGAGTAAAAGGAGCCAGAGCAGCTTTCCCAGCATTTTTCTGAGCACAGCCCTCAACAGAGAAGGGAGAGGAAGGCAGGAGGCAGCATGGGAGGGCTGGCACAAAGAGGATCTTCTACAGGGTGGAGAGCGACCATCCACGAGCTGGGTTTTCCTGTGTTGGGCCCAGCTTCTCCACCCTCCGACCCTTAGCCTGGCTCTGCCAGTCCCACAGTTCTTGCCAAAGTACTGAATGGGTTGCTGTTCTTGGTGTGCTGGCAACAGCCAGCTATGGACACCCCATAGTGCTTCCTGAGTATAGGGTCCCTTTGGGTCCACCCTTCCACAGCCTCCTGTGCTCACAGACTCCTGGTTCTTCCTCTGCAGGCCCACTGGCCTTTGCTTTTCTCCTATTCTACCAGGAACACTTTGTTCCTCAATTTCCCATGTCCTTTGAGTATGCCCTGCATCTCAGGGACTCTACCCTGTTTCTAATACTTGACCTGGAACTCTTTTAGGAGCAGGCTTCTACTCCCCTGTGTCTGCCACATGTAGTTAGACTAGCTTCACTGGACTTTTTGTTGTGGTTGTTGTTAAATGAATGTTATGGGGTGCATTATTTATTGCTGCATAGTAGCTCCCCAGATTCAGTGGCTTAGAAACAAAGCATTTATCTTCTCACAGTTTCAATGGGGCTGGAATATGGGAGCAGCTTAGGTAGGGGGTTCTGCCCAGAGTCTTATGAGGTCACAATGTGGGGTCAACAGGGGAGGGATTTGTCCCTTTCAAAATAGTTCAATCACAAAGAGAGCAAGCACGCAGGCCTCCACGTTTGAAGGCCACGTAGCCCCTTGCACTTTTCTTAATTCCCTATTTGAGAGAGGGCTGGCTCTGCCTCCTGAAAGGAGGAATATCAGGAAGTTCATGGACAGATTTTAAAGCCATCACATTTGACAAATATTTTTAATGGAAAATTGGGAAGTATTAAAAAGTATGTATAAGGAGGAAAAAAATCACCCTTAGAACCAGCCACTGCAGACAGCCACTTCTGACATCTTGGTTGCAATACCATTTCTGCCCCCTTTTTTCTGAGTCCAAGTGGTTTTTCCATGTACTTGTGCTTAAATTGTTTTTGTAATTTTCTATCTTTTTCTCACTTAAAATCAGGACATAAACGTTTTACTTGCTAGTAAACTGTAAAAATCCATTTTCTGTTTTTTTCTTTAGTTTTTTCAACGAAACTTTTTGTTTTGAGATAATCATAGCTGCCCATCTAATTGAAAGAAATAATGCAGAGAAATTCCATGTACAGTTGACCCAATGTCATCCAAGGGTAACATCTTTCAAAACTATAATAAAATATCACAAGTTGGATCTTATACTTACCACAAAGGTTCTTTGTGTTATCCTCTAGTGGCCACTCTCACTCCCTGGCCCCACATACCAAGATCCCTAGCTGCTGGCAATTACTCATGTACATTTCTAGAATTTTGGCATTTCAGGAATGTATATAAATAGATCACCCAATACATAACTTTAGGAGATCGGTTTTTCTCACTTGGCATAACTCCTTGGAAACTAACCCAGGTTGCTGCATGTATCAAAAATTCATGTACACACTGAAGGACATCTAAGCTGTTTTCAGATTTTAGCCACTACTGGCAAAGCTACTATGAACATTCCTCTGCAAGTTATTATGTGTAAAGTCTTTATTTTTCTGGGATAAGTGCCCAGGAGTGCAATTATGGGTCATATGGTAGTTGCACGTTTAGTTGTGAAAGTTACTTTTAATAGCAGCTTAATTCTTCGTAAGAGAATAGATAAGAGTTTACTCATCATTCATCTGTCACTGGATATGTATTGTTTCTAAGCAGTGAGTAATTATAATGTATTCTATACTTTGCACAGAATTTTTCCATTTCTTTATGGTGGACTCCTGTGAGTGGAGTTGCCCCATCATGGAGCAGGAGACTTTTCAGTACTTGTTGTCAAACCAAACATTTCTAATTGCCAATAACTGTCACACATGGTTTAATAGGTTGGTATGCTCAGCATGCCCCAGGAGGTGAGGGATTGGTGAGGCCCATGCAGGCTGGTGGGAGTGGGGGGATCTGGAAAACGTAGTGGGTCCAGAGCAGAGAGGCACTGAGCAGCCAGTGACACTTCAGCTGTTGTGATTTGTGCTACTCCAACAATTCTGTCATGTCCTCAGTGTTAGATACCACAGAAGTGGCGCGGAGTTTCTTTAACCAGCTCTGGAAAGTAAGTAGCCAGTGGCAGAAGCAGGTGCCAGTTACTGCCCGAACCCCACAGAAGGAGTGGGTGGTCTCTATCCACGCCATCCGGAATGCTCGCCGCAGGATGGAGGACCGGCATGTGTTCCTTCCTGCCTTCAACCTGCTCTTCGGCTTATCTGTGAGTGTCCTACTGACAGGGTCCCTGGGCTAAAGCAGGAGATGGGCCTGGGAACAGCTAGCAGCCAAAGCTGAGCCAGGAGGGACTCCTCTGTTGCTCAGGGCTGAGGTGCTGGGTAGCTCCTAAAGCACTTTTCAGGGACATTTGAGAGGCGTAAGTCCTTTGGGCCAAGATGCCAGGCACCTTATTTTCCTAGCGAAGCACTGAGAAAAGGCAACAGTGGACATATGTCTGTTGGGAGGCCAGGCCCTGTGCCAGAGTCACCTCAAACATACTGCCAAACCCTGCCAGCCTACAGCTCCAGGGGCCATCTGGTGTATCTTACTTCATTTTATGTTGGGAACAGCCCAGTACAGATGGGGAGACTGAGGTTCCAAGGGTTTTCCTCTTCCAAATCTCCCAGCTCCTAAGTGCTTGAGCCTGCTGGGCCTGTTTTTTCAAGCCCTACCTGTCTTGGTTTGTTTTCTGTTGCTATAATAGAATAGCTGAAATGGAGTAATTTGTAAAGAAAAAATGTATTTCTCACCATTCTGGAGACTGGGAGGTCAAGGAACTCCATCTGGTGAGAGGCTTCTTGGTAGAGGGGAATCTGCAGAGTTCTGAGGCAGTGCAGAGTATCACATGGCAGAATGTGTTTGCCAAAGAGAGCTCACTTTTATAACAAAACCATTCCCTTAGTAACCCTTTAATCCATTAATCCATGAGTGGATTAATCTGTTATCTTTCAAAAGTCCTACCTCCAAATACCATTAACATAAGAATTTTGGGATTAAGTTTGCAACAGAGAAGTCTCAAGGACAAACATTGAAACCATAGTGCTACCCAGTCAGTGCCTAGGCCATACCCACCCCCTAGGTGAGAGCAGCTGGCAGGTGTCCAGTTACGTAATCAGTTACGTGGAGGCCAGTGAAGTGACCCACTCTGTGCTCTCCATCAGGACTCTGTGGACCGTGCCTACTTCGCTGTGTTTGACGGTCATGGAGGTGTGGATGCTGCAAGATATGCTGCTGTTCATGTACACGTCAATGCTGCCCGCCAGCCAAAGCTGCTTACAGACCCTGCGGAAGCCCTCAAAGAAGCCTTCCAGCACACTGATGAAATGTTTCTCTGGAAAGCCAAGCGAGAGGTAAGAACCAGCAACCAGGTCTCAAGGGCAGTTAGAGGGCCAGTAGCCAGTAGGATTGGAGGACCTACCTCTACTAAGGGAAGGATACCAAAGTGGTTGATGGCGAAGGAATGTCCTCACTGGGATGGCTTGTCATCATGCCATTTACTCTTAAGAAAAAGAACTCATTTTTTCATTTGAATGGAAGTGGCATAAAGCTTTTATTATTCTGTTTCCATGACTATAAATGAAATAACTGAGGCTAGATAACTTTATAAAGACAAGAAGTTTGTTTTGGCTTATGATTCTGTAGGTTCAGAGTCAAAAGTCTTCATCCAGTAATAACTTTGCTGGAAGAGCCCCAAAGTTTCTCAAAACATCACATAGCAAGAGACCAGAAGTACACGAGCATATGTGTGTATCTTCTGGCCTCCCTCTCTTTGTAAAACCACTAGGTTCACCCATGGGGGCTCCACCCTAATAATTTTATCTAATCCCATTCTCCTCCCAAAGTCCTCACCACTAGACACTATTGTTGATTAAGTTTCCATCCATTCAGTACATCACAGTGGGCATTACGTTTTAACACATTAAGCCTTGGGGGACACTAAGTCCCTCTCCAAACCGTAGCACCCTGACCCAGTATACTGCCTTCAAAGAAGAGTTCAGTATGTACGGTTCCCAAGAGGAGGCAGAATGCAGCACCAGGCAGTGCCAGTCGGGGGGCAGGGGAGCAGAGGAAACGTGGCCTTGTGAAGACAGGGTGAAGCCAGGCAGGCAAGCCACAGCAAGCTCAGGAGTGGATAGTTTGGATAACCTTAGTTGTTTCTAAATGACAAGGGTAGCCCCTAGCCATCCCAGCACCAGGCCTGGAAGCCACCCTGGACAGGGGAAGCCTTGGCCTGGTAGATGAGGAAGCACTAGCTGGCTTCTCCATGAGAGGTGACACTCTCAGGCCAGCATTTGCTATCTCTGGGAATTAACCCCCTGAGCTAGTCTCATCAGGCCCCAAAATGTCATTGCATCCTAACATACAGAAAATGCAGCCAGTTGTGGTAGGGCGTATCTGTAATCCCAGTGGTGGGGGGAGGCTGAGGTAGGATCACTGTGAGTTTGAGGTCATCTTGAACTGCATAGTGAAACCCTGTCTCAAAAAAGAAAAAAAGCAAAACACGATTGATACTCTCCCATCTCACCTTGCTCTTCTGAGCAGGATCTCAGCAGGCTGCTGGTGTCTGTCCTCAGGAGTTATAGCTGTGTGTAGGAGGGAGGCACATGTCCCATCAGTCCTGTCTTCTGTGAACATACTCCTGCTTAACCTTCACAACAGCCCCAGGAGGTATCTTCTAATATTGTAACCATTTCAAACATTGGGAAAATGAAACTAAGATTGCTTGAAAGACCTGTCTCAGTGAGGAGACAGTGGGGAGAGGCACCTATTAGCACATTGCTGACCACATTGCTAAGTGGAATTCAGCAGAGACTTTCCACCTCGACAGAAGGCTGTAAGACATCTAAAGCCTCCAGAGGAAGCCTAGGAGAAGACTGACACTGCCACCCCAGCTGGTGAGGCAGGCCTCTCAGCTGAGGGCCGCTCGTGAAGGAGAGCCATCTATAGCTGTATAGTTTATTTTCTTTGGTTTTCATTTGGTGGTGCTAGGGCCAGAATCCAGCAGGCTAGGCAAGTGCTGTACCACTGTGCCATATCTCTAGCCCCTATTATTTTCTGTAAACAACTTTGAGACGTAAGTGACACATAATAAGTTGCCCATATTTACAGTATATGATTGGGTAAGTTTTGGTTTATGTGTGCACTCATGAAACCCTTCACTCCAGTAATGGGCATCTTTATCACACTCAAAAGCAGTTTCCTTCCCTGTCCTTCCACACACCCACTCAACTCATGAGTCTGCTTCCTGCCATACAGACAAACCTGCATATTCCGGAGTACGGTAGTAATGGGGTGCTGCTGGACACTGTCCTCTTCCTTGTGGCATGATCACTACACAATTCATCCATGCCACATAGGGCTCTGGGACAGTCCTCTTGTGTGCTGAGTTTGTGGCTCAGTCTGGCTGGTGTGTGCATCTCGTGTGGGCACTGAGTCACATATACCTTGCCCCACGTGGGCCTCTCCTCCTGCAGCGGCTGCAGAGTGGCACCACAGGCGTATGCGCGCTTATTGCTGGAACAAACCTGCACGTTGCCTGGCTCGGAGACTCCCAGGTCTTCCTGGTGCAGCAGGGACAGTTGATAAAGTTGATGGAGCCACACAGACCTGACCAACCGGTAAGGGCTCCTTCTGTCTAATCCCAGGACGCTCCCAGACTGCTGTAGTACTGGGCCTGTACAAGACTGGAGACCTCACAGGGCAGCAGAATGTCAGCAGGTTCCTGCTTGCTGTTGTTGAGGAGGATTCGGCAGTGACTGGCATCTTTTGGTGCTCCTGCTGAAGAGGGCACCACATTATGGCTCGGGTGGCCAGGGAGTCCCAAGTAAGCCCTTCCTGACAGCTCTCTGGGTCACAGTAACACAGAGCCCAGAGCTCCAGGGATTCTCTGTCCCAAAAGGCAGCCCAGGAAGTGGGGTCATCGCAGGTCAGCACAGAGTTCCATGATATCCACAGGCATAGAGCAGCTGGCCAAGGGCTAAGAATAAGGAAGTGGCCCTGCACTAGTGCTGGAACAAAGTCTGAGCTACAGTAGGCAGAGACTATGCTGGGAGACTGCCACCCAGATCACTCACCTGTCTGAGCCTTAGGGCCCTAACTTGGGCATGAGGAAGACATTCCTGCTCAGACCATATCTTCCATTTCTAGTCTGTTTCCTGAGGCAGAGAGGGCATATTGGATATCAAAGAATGCTGTGTATCCCCTGTCCCCACCAAAAAAAAGAAAAGAAAACAACCCTGTTTTCTCCACATAATGTGCTCTGCACTGGCTTTTGTCAGCTAACTGTGCACCTGGCAGACCATTCTACATCTGCATGTGAAGGGCCCTCATCCTTGGAGACGCTTGGCATTCCATTCATCATCCAGTCCCTATGGAGAAACACTGAAGCCTTAAATCTTTCTGCACTGGAAACATTACAACAGTGCATAACTTTGTACACTACATTGCCCAGGGTCAAGTATGTACGCAGAAAAGATTCCTAGAGGTAGGATTACAGGATCAGAGTAGACATACAGTCTTCGTAGATTTGCCCAACAGACCTCTGCATTGGGCCAGCCTGTGCTTGAGCAGTGCATCTGAGAGTGTCCATCCTACCATGTTCCCACCAACTACAGAATTTCACCCTTCTGAGAGTAAGAAGGATATTAGCAGTTGTTTAATTTGCTTTTCTCTTGTAGAGCAAATTTAAACATTTTCAAAAGTTTAAACTAGGTATGGTAGCACACACCTATAATTCCACTACTCTGAGAGGCTGAGGCAGGAGAATCACAAGTTTGAGTCCAACCTGACTCAGTAAGACCCTGTACCTACCCCCCCTCCCCATGCCCAACAAAGAAAGAGGGAGACGTAGCTCATTGCAGAGACCCTGAGTTTAATCCTCAGGATCACACTAAAAGAAAAAAAGTTTTAAGATAATTTTTATTGCCCTGCCTTTCCCATGAACAGTTTGTTCCCATCCCTTGTCTGATTTTCCTTCAATGTATAGACATGTTAGGGGGGTAGTCTTCTTGTCTGGCTTTTGTAGTTTCTCCCATGTCTGTTTTGAGTTTTCTGCAGTGATGTTGAGCCATCTTTCCTCCTGTGGTCCTTAGATTTGGAAAGCAGGACAGAGACTTTTTGGTGTTGATCACAGTCAGGGATCGTGGTGCTCCTTGGCCTCCCAGCACAGCTCCTGGTCTGGGCTACACATGTGCCCTCCCCATTGTACAGAGGAGAGACCTGAGGCTCAGAGAGGTTCAGTCACTTGCCCAGAGGACATACCAAGTAGCAGACACTGCTGCTCCACTGCCACCCCACTGCAGCGGAGTTCAGCACCTACTCCCTGTTGGTCCCCTTTCCCTGGCCAGGTAAGCCATACACTGCCTGTACCTGTGCAGCTGCAGAGGCCAGCATCTCTCTGAAGTCCAGTGCAGACCTTTTCCAAGCCACACTTGAATGGTGTCCTGGTAGAATAGGGGCAGATAGCCTGGCTTGGTCCTGGTCCCATCTTCTCTAAGCCTGAGGCTCCTCATATGTCAAATAGGATTTGGCAGATTCGGGGGTGAGGATAGAGTGGCTCACTACACATGAGTGCAGGGATCAGTGCCTGCACGGGCGCACACACAGGTGTCTAGTTCTGTTGATCCATGGCTGGGGGGTGAGGGGAAATAGGGGCAGAGACTAGATCCCAGCTCCCTCCTGCAGCGGCTGCTTATGATTCCCATTGTCTTACAATCCACCTGCCAGAGAAATAATCAGAGATGTGGGCAAAAGTTCACAACAGTGAGTTTCACCACATCAGTGACAAGGATAGGAAGCTGAGAGCTTCATTCAGGGCCCAGCAGTCCACAAAGGTTCTGTTCAACAGAACTCCTCCTGCAGCTGGAGGCAGTTCAGACCAGCATATACTTAGAGTCTTCTTTTCTTTTCTTTTTTCTTTTTTTTTTTTTTTTTTTTTGAGACAGGGTCTCACTGCAGTTTAGGCTGGCCTTGACTCACTATGTAGCCTCCTGCCTCAGCCTCCCGAGTAATGGGGTTACAAGTATACATCAGCATGCCCAGCTGGAGCCTGTTTTTCACATGCTACTTTGCTGAGGCAGTGGGGTGACAAAACAGGACCTGCATCCACCACCCAGTAGCTGTGTCTAATGGAATAAAAAAGTGTGACAGGTGAGGGTGAGGACACAACCGGGTGACAGAAAGAGAGGCATGGGAGTGGGGCCTGGAGTAGAATCTGGAAGGCAGGTGACTTCTGCAGGCCAGAGGCAGCAACTAGCTGGAGAGAACAGGTGACGGCAGAACTGACCTGCTGCTCCTTCGGTGGGGCTGCCCCTAGCCAGGAAGTACACAATTGAGGCCTGAAGTAGGCACGCCAGACCCACTTTAGGAGCGGGGGCAGCCTGTACACATAGGGTTGCCTTTTGGCACAGGGGACCCCACTAGGGCTTTTTAAGCAGCTGTCAAGGGTGGAGCTCACAGGCCCAGTGTGACCCAAGTGCTTTCCCATCCTCTAACTCAGTCCTGTCCTCACAGGATTCCCTCAGGGAACAGAGGATGGGGGAAGGTGTGCTCAGGAAAGAGGGTTCCAAGGCTTTTGTTATATCTTATTTTTATTTTTGAGGCAGGATCTTTTTATGTTGCTCATGCAAGCCTCAAACTCATAGTCCTCCTGCCTCAGCCTCCCAATACTGGGATAATTGGCATGCATCACCTTGTCTGGCTGGTTCCACAGTTTGAAGGCCAAAGCACCCTGCTTTTAGGGCCTCGCTGGGGAGACCTTGCCCTCAAGGAAGGACATGGTGGGTAAATCGGTTCTCTTTGGCACCACTGCTCCCCAAGATTGAAGGCAGACTGGTGTGGGTTGTGCCCATCTCACAGGGGCCCATGAGAACAGCTTCCACTTTACCCTCAGTCACCTCCACCAGGCCTCAGACGCTGGTTGTCTCCCTGCAGGAGGAGTGGGAACGAATCCAACGATTGGGTGGCTTTGTGACTTTCTTGGACTGCTGGAGAGTCAATGCAGCCCTGGCTGTCTCTAGAGCTATCGGTAAGCAGAGTGCAGAGGCTGGCATGGGGTAAGGCAAGGCCTCCAACTGTGGCCAGGGGCTCACCCGGTGGTTTTGGACAGAGTGTTGTGAGCTTGAAAAGATTTGCAGCATGCAGAAGCTCCCAATTTATAGTAGGATTACTTTCAAATAAACCCCCGGTACGTTGAAAATGTGTTGAAGGCACCTAACCCCGCAGACATAGTCTGCTGTCGAGAATCAGTGATTTGCCCTGGTCATGGGACTGACTGGGAGTGGCAGTGCGCTGCTGCTGTCCAGTTTCCAGAGAGGGTCTCAGACCACTCACCGCCGATCCAGAAAGGATCAAAATTCAAACTGGAATTTCTGTTGACTATGTACCACTTTCACACCACTGTAAAGTAAAAACCAAGTCACACCATCATAAACTGGGGCCTATCTGTACTGGTTATAGCACCAGTCAGCTTGTAACAGGAATGGGGCAGAGTTAGAGACCACAATTGTGAATGCTCAAATTTTCATCTCCCACCAGTAATTGCGGTTTAAGTTATATATCGTTAACTTTCATTAAAACAAGTCCCTTTAAAATCCTTGAGCTACCTACTATATGGGCTAGGAGAAAGGTTTCAGATATTTAATAAATGAGGTTACCGTCCACATTTATGTTAATGATTCTTTTGCATATTTGAGGAGGATAGCAGTTCTCTTACCCTGTCTTCTACTCCATTTTCTTAGTAGCCTGACACTGCTGGGTCTCAGTCCACAGATCATACCTGCCCCTTCCAAGTACAGTACTTAAAAATCACTCCCTCCCCTGCTCACGAGCACCCCAGGAATTTTGCCCCTGCCCCTCTCACCATCCTGAAGTGTCCAATCCTGGGGAAGTGCAGCGCCTTCCTCACAACCCATCTCATGCTGCTGCCATTGTATCTCTGAACACACGAGGAAGGATGAGCTTACTCTGAGGGTGGGAAGTGTTGGTGGGTTTCCATCTGGCCCAGGGTCTATGCCCACAGGCCGAGGAGGCATGATGGGCTAGTGAAGACCAGTAGACAGTGAGGCCCTCTGACATAAGCTTTTCTCCTGCCCAGGGGATATCTTCCAGAAACCCTATGTGTCTGGGGATGCAGATTCGACCTCCCGGGAGCTGACTGGCTCTGAGGACTACCTGCTGCTTGCCTGTGACGGCTTCTTTGACTTTGTCCACCTTGATGAAATTGCCAGCCTTGTCCACAGTCACCTGGTCAAACAGGAGGGCGATGGGGCCCATGTTGCCGAGGAGCTGGTGGCGGTGGCCCGGGATCGAGGCTCCAGTGACAACATCACAGTTATGGTGGTTTTCCTCAGGGACCCCCGAGAGCTGCTGGAGAGTGGGGTCCAGGGGCCAGGCAACTCCCAAGCAGATGTGAGAAGCCAAGACTTGTCCGCTGGCCTCTCAAATCCCCAGACTGACACTCCACAGAGAAACTAGGTGGTCCAGGTCCCCCATCATTCCCTGCCCTCAACCCTTCCCTCCACCCATGTGAGTCTCCTCAGAGGCCTTAGGACCTGACAGTCAATAGTGAGCAGGGTGAAACCACCCACACAATGCTTGCCCCGGCATCCCAAGACCGCTGGCAGTGTGTGCTACACCCTGTTCTGGTGACTGCAGAACTGCTCCTGGCAGGGCTCAGAAGCAGGCATAGGGAAAAGATCTTACCAAAGTAAAGATGGCCCAGGAAGTGGCCTTGACCTTCCATCAAGGCAGGGGTGGGCCCAACAGTCAAAGACACCTGGCAGCAGTCTGACTAAAGACAGGGTGTATATCTGGAGCACTAGGATACATGTGTTGGGGACCCCTCAGCAGACCTCAGAGGTCCATCCATCTTCAGGAATCTCCTGGAGTCAGGTCAAGCAGGCAGTATATCCTAGTATAGCCTAGGTTTCTTATGGCTTCTCACTGTGGCTGTGGCCATGGCCATGGCCATGGATGGCCGTGATGGGAGGAAAAGATCATATTGACGGATAAAGGCCTGGCAGGTCTTAGTTGACCTCACTGGCTTCCCAAAGAGGTGAGAGCAACCTCTCTGGAAAGAGAGGGAAGCCAAGGGTCTGGTCCACAGCTGCCAGAGCCACCCGTGATGTGCTAGGGTCCACAAGGCCCTCTTCCTGTTTCCCTTGAGCGCCCTGGAGAGGGGAAGCTCTGCACTTACTGACACAAGACGTGTGTGTCATTTGTGTATTTGGGTTTTATTCTGGGAATAGTCTAATTCAGAAGCAGTATTTCAGATTTTGTCTTTGTCAGTGCCAAGAAGACCCATAGTGTCATATAATTTAAGCAGAGGTTGGTGTTTATTTCTTAGAAAATTTAAGTATTTACTTTTTTTTCTTCTATTTTGGAAATATTTTCATTGCAGTATTATTGAGTTTTTTTATTTTTTTGTTTGTGTTTTGTTTTTGTAAATCAGGATTGAAACAGAAACTTTTCCAGGGGGTGTTAATAAGTCACTTAAGTGCCTTAAATGGCTATCGGGAGATGAGACCTACTGGTCTACCATGAATTCTGACAGGCCCATTGAAGTTCTTACAGAAGCAGCATTTGTTTTGCTAGGAAGGCGTGATTTTGGCTAGAGTTCTTTTCCTTCTTTGTCTTGCCAGGCACCCCCAGGAGCCTCTCTAGGGTGATTGACAGGAGCCATGACATGGGTGGGGCTGCTGCCTGGGCTCTGCTATGCCATCTCTGGTTGGATCCCAGGCAGAGTGATCCTACTACTACTTGAGTAGAATGTTCCAGAATATCTTTGTGTATTTGTAATCACACTGGTTTCTTCATGGGAAATTGCTTAAGAGGCTCTGGGAAGCCCAGAGGCAGCCCAGTGTCTTGGCATTGTCTGGACACAGGGGTGAGAGGCTGCTGGCAATCTGACAGCATTGGCCATAGCGCCTCCTCCCTCCAGCCCCCAGGCTCATGTCTTCCCCTGCAGGGCTTTTTCCTATAGCTTCGAGAATGAAGGACTCGATGTCCTCTTGAATACTGGGAAACTAAGGCTCAGAAGTGGGAAGGTGATACTTAAGTGTCTCAAGGAGCTTGTGTAGTTACGTGTAGAGTTGAAACTGGTAGGACTGAGGAGTTCAAGCAGAGGGCAGGGACATGGCAGGAGAAAAGGGCCCTGGTGGCCCATGGAGAACAGCTTCAGGGAAGGGCTGAGCAGCAGTAGAGCTGCTCCCACAGAGGTGCGAAGAGCAGTGGGTGGCTTAGCTAGGGCTTGTGACAGGAACAGTAAGAGGCAGCTTGGCCATGAGATCCCTGCAGAAGTGATCAGAGTCCACCTGCAGACAGCAGGGTACCAGGAAACTAGGGCTGTGCTCAGTGCATCTCACCCTTCTCCCAACTCATGGAAAGGACAGATGTGCAAGACCCCCCAGCCAAGTCTACATCTGCATGAAGGGCAGAGCCAGCCCTGGTGGCTCCTCACCTTCTCCCCTCACACTCTCCTACAGTGGGGCATCAGGAAGTGAAACCGTACTCTAAGGCATTGCTCAGTCTTCTGATAGACAGCGCCTTAAGCATTGCCATTCAGAGAATAGTTGGACACCAACAGTGACTAGGCATTGCTTAGCTTAGCTTAAAGGCCCTACAGCCTTCTGAGGGCCAGAAGCCAGGGCCCCTCCTGTGTGCTCAGCAGAGGACTGGGCAAGATTCAGGAGTGTGGCTCTATTTATCCCTCACTACTAGCCCATCCTGCTCATGGTAGTGACCTTGACAGAGAGGGAGTTTTGACTTGTTTTTCTTTGCTTTGCTAATCTTACTCTATTCACTACTGCTAAGAGAGGAGTTATACCCCAGTGACATTTGGATCATACCCTTTGCTGGTCTGCTTTATTGCCTGGCCTGAGGCCCTGCCAGACCGCCTCTCAGGCTTGGCACAGGGCCAAGCCCCTTCCCCACACTTGTCTGAACACCTGCCCTAAACCCCTGAGCTGGGCTACCCTGCTGTGGGAACAGCCAGGGTCCTGAATGCAGCAGTCTGGGCCATCGTTAGGGTTGGTCAGGAACTGGCTTTGCAGTAGCTTCTGAGTGGAGAGAAGAACCTCTCTGACCAGGGATACCATGAAAATCTGAACCCCATTTCAAAGAGCAGCTTTCTCATCAGCACAGTGTATAAGCTGAGCAAGTCATTGTACCTTTCTGGACCTCTGTTTCCCTTTTGTTAGGCATAGGGGTTGCACAACATCTGCTGTGGCTCCAACTGGGAATTCTGGAAATGTAGGGGCTACTCAAGGTAAGCCTGCATATCCTGGAGAGATGCTGCCAGTGCTGAGGCCCCTCTCCTCTTGCCAGCAGGGAGGGGTGATTAAGTATTATTAGTGTCTATTCTTAAAATTAAGTGGGTTGGAAAAGAATCAACTTACAGATGCCAGCGCCTTATATGGAATACAAAAGCTGGAGAAATCAAACCCTGCTTTTACAGGTGCTGCTGATTCCCAACTGAGTCCTGCAGGGTGGTAGAATTAGGTGAGGCAGGAAGGCATAACCAATTCTCAAGGGTGTCCTAGCCAAAATTCAGGCTAGAGAGTATGTTTTAGAGGTCTGGAGACATGGTGTGAGTGTCACAGCCTATGGGGTCTCAGACTCCCAGAGACCTTGCCTAATCCCCTGCCACTGACCACAGTCTGTTTCCTACCCTCTTGGGGTAGCATGCAGCCCCTGTCCTCACCCTCCCCTGCCATAGCATGTTCCAGCGTGGGTATCCCGGCTACCTCAGCAGTATTTCCAGTACTGGGAGGCCAGCCTTGGTCACTCCTAAGGACTGCCCCTCACCCCAAGCTACCTGGAAGCCAGGTAGACCTGTATAAAATAAGCTGTGTATCTGGTTTGATTTGCCTCTGTATTCCAAAAGGGGCAAACTCTGGAGTCCTATGCTTTTGCTGAGACTCCTCAACTTTGCCAAATGTGCCGAGCTTTGCCATTCATGTGCCATATGGGCCTTGCCAAAGGTTTTTCTGTACACACTTGGGGGGCTTCCTGAGAATTGTGTTCTTGCATAGCAGGGGATCTTGTTCCAAGACATCACTGTTTTCCACGGTCTTGGGGGACAAGTTCCAAGGTGAAGGGACCAAATTGTGGTCTCTTCCCAGGGGCCCACCATGCTGAAGTGTCAATAAACCATGAATTTCAAGACTCTCACTGAGTCCTGCCTTCTTCCCTGACCTTTGAATTTCTGGCCCCCATGGGCTCCAGGGTATACTTGGGAGGTGCTAAGGCAGTAGGAGACTATCTGCAGACTGCCCTACAAAATGTCCTTTCTAGACAGCCTGGGCTCATTTTCTTCCTGAAGCTCCAAGCTTACCCTCATTGGCAGCAAGAAAATAACCAGAGAAGCGAAGCCCCCTGGAACCTTACATGACAGTGAGAAGCTTCAGGAGCCTCTACTGGCCCTGCCTTTTCATCCAGAAGCCAGAAGTCCAGCTTTGCTATTGAGGATGCTTCCATCCAGTGGTGACAATTAGAAGTGAGTCCAGCATTGGGCGAATGCCCTCACCATACCAGTGACCTGTTCAGGCTAAGATCAAAGCCCTGAGCATTTCTTCTGCCGCCATTCCTGTTGCCTGTTTGCCATTCTGCCCATTCTACATGCCCCACTGCATTGGCTACCTGAACCAGCATGAGTGGTTTGCTGGAGCAAGGCTTCCATACAGGGTGAGGGCAGCAGCAGCTTTGGTGACCTGGGGCACACAGTGGGGAACTTGGCTTGCAGCTGGACTTGAAGAGAGAAAAATCCAAGAAGTGAGTCCACTCCTGGTAAATCCTAAAAGACAGGATTTGGAGTGGGCTCCCCCCGCCACACCTTTAGGTTTTTCTCTAACTTCTAATTTTTTACACAGTAAATGTTTTTTAAATGCATTTACAGTGGAATGTGGTGGTACACACTTACATACTTAGGAGGCTGAGGCAGGAGGATCACAAGTTCAAGCCCAGCCTGGACAATTTATCAACTTAGCCATGTCTCAAAAATTGACAAAGGTATGAGGCCCTGGGTTTAATTCTCAATACTGAAAATTAAAAATCTTACAAACAGACCAAGAGAGATCAGCTGGCAGTAGGCAGGGTTGGAAGGATGGCTGCCAAGGATCTTGGTGGAAACCAGGGAGTCCAGATAGCTCCACTGAGTTGGAGGAATCCAGGCTGAAGCTACAAAGGACATAGCCTGGGTAGCCCCTCCCTGTGGTGGGCTTTACCTGGCTTCAATTTGGGGCAAGCCTCACGACTCTTGGTTAAAAGGGCCCACTCCCTTGTGGTCAAAGGGGCTAGCTCCTTGAGGTTACCAGGACAGGGGGATGGGAACTTTCCTTAAGACCATCACAGCTGATAGACCTTAAGGGACTTCACAGGGCCCAACTGACTGCTACCCTCCACTCCAGAACTCAAACCCAACAATGACTTCTAACCCAAACTTCTCTGACTTCATCTACTTCACGACTGGTCAACAGCAGGATGTACTGTGGCTAGTGGTTTAGCAGCCTGGATGCCCAGGGCTGCCTGCTCCACCACAGACACAAGGTACAGGGCACATACACATAGTCCATCAAGGTTATGACCCCCAGCATGTGTGAAACTACACTTTGAGACCAACTTGAGCCCCTTCCCAGTGCCCTTGGGATCACTACACTCATTTTAATTCCAGATGATTCTGGGAAATAGCCAATCATGGGACTCAGTCATCTAGTCCTTTTGTAGCCATTGGCTTGGTATCTTGCCACACTGCTACCAACACTCAGATGAAGGACAAAGCGGCTCACAGAGCCAGCCACCAAGTCACCACTTAAGGCAGGGTGGGATTCGATTGAACACATGGGGGTCAAGTGCCAGTAGGCAAAAGGGCCAGTATAACATCCAAGCCTCAGTGGTATTTTTCTTTCTTTTTTTTTTTTTATTTAAAGAGAAAAAAGAATGGACATAAAAAAAAAAACAAAGCAGTAAAAGGGTGCAAGTAATACAGAATTTCAAGAAAAAAAATATACAGTAAGAAATCACTAGTTAATAGGTTACATATTGTCTTCTTAGAAACAGTTGTCCAAATTATAAAATTAAAGCATATAAAGTGGACATTCATACAGTGAGATTGGAGACAGTTCCATTCAATGATCCAACAAAAGCTCAGTAATATGGTTTTCCATTCTACACACTCAAACATACATGTGGTTATATCCCTTAGTCCACCTTCCTTTCCTCTCTTTTTTAGAATAACAATTACACTTTTTGGGTTTTATTACTCCCACAGTTCTTATTACTTTTTTTTTTTAAGAGAATAAAACCAAACATGACTAAGCAAAACAGAGTCAGAACAGAAAGATGGGCATATAGTGGTATTTTTCAAAGTCCCCAAATTTGCAGATCTTGCCATTTGGTCTTTGACTTCTTTCTCAAGCACAAGAGAAAGTTTAGCAGCCAGCCAGGAGAACTCAGCCTGTGCTGCTGGCCAAGCGCAGGCATCAAAGGGACAGAGAAAACACAGGTGCCTCTTCTAGCACAGTTCCAAAATGCTGCCCTGAACTGTTCCCCAAATCATGGGGGAGATGTGTGGCCCAGCTCATTTGGGCTTGCTGTGCCCCTCCCTTTCCTCACTCCTCTCCTGGACCCCCAAGTCTCACACGCTCTTCCTTTGCCTGTGGACCTCCTGTTTCTTGGCATGGTCTGCTTCATTTCTCCTGGTCCCTTCCAAGTCCCCTAAAAATGTCCCTTCCTGATCCAGCAACACCTGCTGCCCAGAACTGAGGCTTCTACCCTCTGGGCATGCTGCAAGAAAGGCAGCTTTATCTTCCTCCATTTTATCACGGAGGGGGGCATCCTTGGAAAAACAAGGTAACTAGGCCAGGAGGCGATTCTGTCAGACTGCAGGGCTGGGGTTCCCCACCAGTCCCTGGCACCCTCAGGCCCACCCACTCATCAATCCGCCCTCTTGCTTGGCCCACTCACTCTGCTCCCTGAAATCTCCTACTTAAGTATATGCTGTCTTGTTTCCTAATGAATTGTCTGAATCTCCAGATGGTGGCTCTGTACTTTTCTCCTAGCCCCCACCTTCATGCAGCTTGGAACACTCTCTCAGGGACACTGGGTTGGGGGCAAGGTAGGCCTAAGGGACCACCAAGGTACAGACAGGGACTAGAGCTGCCCTATTGCTGAAAGCAGCTCACCTGTATGACCAAGCCATCATGATGGCAGTTGGGGCAGGGTGGGGAATAAGCTAAATTCAGTACAGAGAGCTGAGGCTACAGAGTGTGCGGGGGCAGTGGGCACTGGGTTCCAGACCTGCTAAATGGCTTCAGGCTGGCAAAGGGAATTCACATGCCCCAGGCTAGGGTTAGGTTGGACAGATCCAGAGAAAGATGCAGGAATCCCAAGTGGGAGGGATGATGCCTAGTACTTGGGGGCTCTCAGGACCCCCACCTGCTTCCCTTCCCACTCTCTCCTGGCTAGTATGGGGCAAGTCAGGAAGAGGCCCTCAGGGCCCTGGCCATGACTAGTTTTCTCAGATCTGCCTTCTTAGATCCGACCTGAGAGTCCTGGACTTCTGGGTAACTTAAGGCCAAGGAGTGAGTACAGCCCCCTGAGAACCAGCCCTGAGGATTTGCTCAACCCCAGGAGTGGATCCTGGCTGGTGCCACCTGTGGGAATAGCACTGGTGACCATGCAGCCCAGCCCAGGCAGGCCTATCCTCAGTTCACTGTCCTGGTAAGTCATTCTGGCTGGGGAGAGGCACTTCCTCCTCACTCTTCTTCTAACTACAAGACCACCTCCATGCCCTTTCTCTCCCCTTCTCTAGGCCTGAGCTGCAAATGGAACTTTGGGTCACTTCCAGTCCCCATGGCTTATTGGCTTCTGCCCGCGCTCAGTCCAGTTCCACACAGTGTTACTTCAAAGCAGTATATAGACAATCACCATGAATGAATATATCTAGTGATCAAAATATATTCTGCTTTTCTTTTTTTTTCAGTTCTGAGCATCAAACCCCTACGTCTCACAAATTATGTACTATATTTCTTATACTATAAAAGCAATACTACACACAGCCAAAAACTAAGGTTTGATTTTGAGTATGGAACAGAATATTCATGATCAGCCTGGGGTATAGATCAGGGTTAGATTACCTGTTTAGTATGCATGGAGTCCTGGTCAGTCCCAGTGCCAAAAAACAAAACCAAGGTTAAAAAAAAAAATCAAGGTACATATTTGAAAATGCAGTTTAATACAGGTTCAGTGGTACATGTCTCCAGTCCCAGCCACTTGGGAGGCTGAAGCAGGAGGATTACTTGGCCCCAGGAGTTGAACCCAGCTTGGAGAATGTAATGAGATCACATCTTTTAAGAATCCTGTTTTAACACTAGAGATGCAGCGCAGTAGTACACCACTTGCTTTACATGTATGAATCCATGCATTCCATACCAGTACCACAGAAGTTTAAAAACAAATTAAAAACAATTTAAAAATCAAAACTTCTTGAAATGAAAGATAGCCTTTTGCACAGACAAACTAAAATAATATAAAGAAATCTTGGATGATAAAAAAAGATTAAATGTAACAGCTATGAATTTTAATACATATCTCATGGACAAAGACATTGGAATTAGATACATTTAGTGTCCCTCCCCAGGCAGAAACTCTTCTATGTTGGTATCATGTTTTCCCTGAAGTAAGGGAGCCCCAGTTAACAGAGTTGTTTCTCAGCAGCTACTGCTTAACATCAGTGTCTTATTTTCTCATCACTGAACAGAATATCTGACACCCACAACTGTAAGGAAGAGAGGCTTATTGTGGCTCAGTTTGTAGAGGTTTCTGTCCATAGTCAGCTGGCTCCAAAGCAGGGTGACCTGGCAGAGGGGAACAGCAGAGGAGAAAGAGCTCATGGCACGGCAACAGGAAACAGAGAGAGACCTAGGGCAGAGGGAGAGAGATACACCATTCCAGGCCACACCCGCAGTGTCCCACCTCCTGAAGCAGGCAACTTCCCACATTCTATTCAGCTATAAACTCACCAATGAACTAGTCTATGGATGAGTATCATGCCCCCATGATCTAATCACCTCCCCAAAGCCCCACCTATGAGCACATGGAGGCTTTGGGGGAACTTCTAGTTATAAACCAAAACAATCACAAAGAGGTGGGCCCCAGACAGAGAATATTCC